CCATGCTCGACATGAAGCAATCAATATGCGCGATTGCTGTAAGCGCGAAGAATTGATTTTAAATCACGCCCACCCTGTCTGGATCGGTTAGGGTTTTACTGTTTTCTGTCCGATGACATCATGGAATATTCCACGGTCAAAACTTCACTTGGGCGTCGTGTCACGACTCGTATTTCGATTGACCAGACGACTATCATCACACAACGCAGTCAATTGGCCAGACTGAGGCGGGAAATAGAAGCAATTACGATGACATTCGGAAAACCACCAAGTCGATTTAAATTCCGCGAGTTCTTAAAGCGAAACCTGTGTTTAAATTTAAAATGAATGACAAAAACACTTGCTTTATTGCCATTTTAAATGAGCATCCTCCTTTGGTCTTACTGGTCTGGTACGCATGTAAAAAAAGCACTTCAATAATGCGTTGCCTGTAATTTGTCTGCCGTGACGAAACGTAGACTGTTTTGTTTTGAATATTACGCGCTAAAGAAACTGAAAACTCATTTTGAGCGCTGCTTTGACACTTCATACAAAATTCCGACTCAAGCAGTAGTTTTCCGTTACGTATTGCCTATTTAAGTGCTCCCCTTTGCCCGATAGTAACCCGGTATAAGTGGCCTTCTTACTCGGAATTTTATTCTAAATTCAACGCCATAACGCTAAATTAGCTTTTTATTTCGATTCATATCAATTTCATACTTTATTGAAATCATTTTTGACGTGTAATGTAATATATTGAAAACCTTTTTGGTTTGGGGTTTTTTAATGCTTCAGCTAATTTAGGTCATTTTTAAAAATCCGGCACACGTCATTTTGGCGCCCGCCCAAAAATGTCGCGTTTCGATTCCGTATTTTTACCTAATTTTGGTAGCCATACTTTAACTAATTTTAAAAGGTAATTGATTTACTTACCTTGGAATAGCCTGAATGTCATTTTGAAAAAAAGAATGAATACTAATTGAAATATATATGGAATATTTCTAAACGCTTTCTGTCAATGCTATAAATGTAAATGTGCAACAAATTTTACAGTACAAAGGGAAGATCTTATAGTAGCTGGAAGTTAATTTTAATCACCATTAATAATCGTTCATTAAATTCGTTGGTTTCTCAAACTTTTATGAGCTGTGGTCCCATTTCAAAAACTCTAAAAACTTGCGGCCGGCGCTTTTCAATAAAATACTTATTTTTGCCTTCAACTCATTTTATCATTTATTTTATGCGCCGCGTTTAATAATAAAACGCCAACAAACGAAAGTCAAATAATAATACAAATCACAGTAAATTTACCTTTAATTTATGCAGTCATTGCGAATGGTACCAAATGGCCCCCAGATAACGGCTCTGTGGTCCCCTATGGGGGCCGAGGGCCCGGTTTGTTGAATCCTGCATTAAATCAGATTTAGAGATTCTTAATAGGTATATCCACTTTCACCAAAGATCAGAGTGAAATCTGACGTGATTTTTTTTTATAATTAGCTTTATAAAACAGGCGGGAGCTTCTTGTCCAAATTATAATCTGTTATTTTCTGTCGGCGATTGGAAAAGATTTTGTCTCAGAATTTTAGGGAACACTGGTCGTGTGTAAAACCGACGATTATTCTTTGAGTAGTCTGTATACGAAATTACTTTAAATTCAGCCTAGGGTACGACTGACTGAATTTAGATAAAAATTCTTCAATAAATTCAATTTTTGAAAAATTTGGCAACTAACTTGAGCTTGACTTGTACTGAACATGACATTTTGTTGTCTCCCTTTATAATGGATTACATGCGTAATACTTTTCCTCTGTCAAGCAAAATATCGGCCCTGATTTATGTTTAAAACCGCTATTTGTGGACCATCCGTGTATTATGCTTATGAATCGTTTACTAATTTGAAGACGAAATTTGTTAAATTCGTATTTCATAGTTTACTTTTCAACGATTTTTTCGTTTATGTTGCAGTTTCCATTATTGCCGTTTGGCCGCTCTTACCTACCACACATTTATTTTTAATTTGAGTTTTATCGACGCCCTTTTTATGCCTAAAATATCAACTGCCATGTCATTCTTTCGACGTAATTTTAAAATTTCATGGATTCAAATGTCGCAGGAGGAGCCGCACCTAGATTTAAATTATGTCTAAAAATATCTATTCAGAATATTTTTGGGGAGTATTTTAAAATTCTTGTGACATTGTGCGTATATGATAACACAAACGACGATGAATTTAAATAAAAAAGTTAGCATGATCTAACTATTGACCATGGATATTCCTTCATTCCTTGAATATTCTTTATGCAGGTAGTTCACGTTGTCTGAACCAGTGGTTGCCAACTTTTTTTGCGACTTCTTTTTCAAATTTTTGTTCTCTTTATTCCTTCTTCGCCGTATAAAAAATCACTCTTATCGTTATTTGTTCAATCTTAACTGATCATTAGCTAGTGTTACGCACAATACTCTAGATTTTGTAGAAGTTGAATACTTTATAAATACCGGTATGTATTACAATGATACTAAAGAAATAATCGAAATTAGTAAAACTATGTCAAACACTGGGTAATATATCTGTTTTTCATCCCCGACAAAATTTTTCCCGATTGGGAAACGATGACGTAAACATTGTGGATTCGTTTTGTTCATAATATTGTTTTAAATCTCAGAAAATATACATCTGCCTGATTTGTAACCAAATAACGTACGATCGGCGTCTAGGAACGATTCTTGTCCACCACAATCGAGTAAGCTGGTGCACGATCCCATTTTATATTCAATGGATGTTGTACATGAAAATCGCGGTTGATGCGGAGCTCAGAAAATGTCGCCCGTCGCTAAGATCGTGTTTGTTATTTGACCAGAGTGGGAATCGGTAATAGTGATAACGAGAACTAATTTTATTGGTTTTATCGTACATCCGGATTCAAGTATTAAATTGACTCTATGTAAATATGTAAATTTTTGTTTGTTGTCTTGCTCGCTAGACGCCATATCACTCAATGCCTATATGGCTGGCATGTTTAAATATTGTGTAGCGGAGAATTGGAGACGCTTATCTACCACATAAACACCAAGTGGCCAAAGTCTAGCACTAGACCAAAATCTGTATCAATAGTTTGACGGATAAACAACCGTTACGATTGATATATTCGAGTCATTCTCGCTAAATCATATACATTCTAGAAGAGCGATTGATTCACCTTTATCAATTGCCCGACTTGTAAAAGGTATTCGGTCATTTTACTTTATTGACTGCGAGCATTCATTCGTTCAAGTTGAAGGCACACATTTATCAAAGCTAATTCTGGTTGTAAAAGTATTTTCTCCTTTCCCGCGTGAATCAACATTTCTATTGTGATGCAATCTGACGGAAATGCCGCGAATTACTTGAAGTCATCTTTTATAAATTTGTAGGCAATAAGTTGGACGACATCAGTAATTTATTTAGAATCAGTATGCTCTAATTGATGTTAAATTGCATTGATGATTTTGTACTAAAGCGGACGGTGTTGTGTGTCTTGTTTATGTCCATGGTTACTAAGCAAACATTTTTCTATATAAAAGACCCGATTTCATATTGAAACGTGATAGTTGAACGTAGCATTGGGTTGACAAGATGACTCGTCGATCATTTATCCTATCTGTATGGATTCCTCAATGCTATCTTTCTCTGTCTATATAAGCTATCACTTACAATGTCTGGCCGTGCTTCTCCGTATCATATTTGCGGACTTTCATAATGTCAGACGAGAGTCGCTTGTACTTATTGCGCAATCATTGCTGAAATTTTTAGTCGGCCACCTTTGGCCCATAGTTATCATAACACAATGTTTGGGATGTGCCCATTCAAATGAATGATGACAGCGATTGTTTACTGTGGACGAATATTAGTGAGCTCTTGAGATCACCGAAACGAAGGACGTTGCTGTGTTCCCCACATATTTTGATTTTACAAATTCAATTTTCAGAGAATTAAAGTATAAGCCGATACTGATATATAATACAAACGTCTACAGCTCTATTTGGGGTTACAGCTCATTCTGTTATATATCTAGATATTAGTCAGAGCTTATTTAATCCAATTTAGATTAGTGATATTTTTTGGGGGAACACTTGTAATTGTGAAACTATCTGCAAAATAGGTCATCTGTTGGATTCATTGTTGTATAGCATACTTCTATATTTTTTCTGGCTAGAAATTCTTGGTATTTGTCTGAAAGGTTCCCCTTACAAAAAGCAAGAGGTTTCTCTTCATAAAAAACAACCTGATCATTTTACCCGGTTATGTCAAATCAAGCATGATCATAGATGAATCGATAACAGTAATATGATCTTTCTGAAGCCTTTAACCAGTATCAATGGTCCATATGCGATTTAACATAAGCGATATTTGTATTGTTCTATTTACCTGGAACACTTACTCAATAAACCATTATATTACAGTAAATTGGTTGATTTTGCTTCTCTGCATTGAGATTGTTTTCTTTGCTGAATTAGAGCATAACTAATACCTATTTACTATTTTCGCACATAAATTTAATATTTTCTACTATATATACTTTATGAATAAGTGTTTGTGGCACAAAGCGTGATCATATATTTTTTAACTTGGGTAAACAACGCCAAACCAGAGACATTCAAGTCTTTCCAGCTTCCACAATGAAGGGGCTCTTCACAAATATTAGTGACCGCTTCTGCAGAGACTTATTCGGAGCAAAAAGTATATACATACGGCATATATTTGAAAAAAAATTTATCGTTGAATTACTGGTTGAAGTGTTTTGAAGCAATGAAGCTTTTCAAAACAAGCTTTTTTGATTAAAATGGTCATGAATTTACTTTATTTCTACTGAAATCACAACACTAGTCGCTGGCCGAGACCCAACATCTAAAATAAACTGTTCTTTCCTGTTATGGTTATCATAGTTTATTTTTCTAGCAGTTGGTCCAAACTGACAACGCCTATCTTCATTGTATTGTTGAAATCTTTTTATTTACCTGGTTTTGCTTTTCTTCAATAGGTTCAAAATGGATACCTTCATGATGAAGATGTTCTCATTGTTGCAAAATCAATCACATCTTTCTTGTCCAATCATAACCGCTCAAAGAAACAAGAAGGAGATAGGGAAAAAGAGGAGAAAACGGTAATAATATATTGCTATTTTTCTTAACACAAATTAGCCCATTGCTACTATGTTGCAGTATCGGGGAGGGTTGAGTTATTTACTCAACTTGAGTTGTACTCGCCATGTATCAAAGACTCAAAGTGACTCGAGTTATCCAAATGAAATGACTCAAACTCGACTAACAGCCAGTGAGACTTACTGAGTGATTAACTTGAGAATTGGATGACACATGACTTACTTAATACGCAACTCTGGTTTGAGGCATGTACCCTACACCAGGGCTTTCCAAACTGGGAGTTGCGACATACTACGACACTGCGAATTTCTCAAGGGTAGCAGAGACTAGAGAGCAAACCAATTTCACACAAAGTATAATTCTGTTGTACTTTTTAGGACTTTTGATTCGAAACACAATTATTAAAACTAGTGCAAAACCTAAATCTCACAATATCGAGACAATAGGTAGGATCAGAGAAGCGGGTGCTTGGCAGAACAATGCCGACTTAACAGGGGTTGCGAAAAATTTTAAAATATCGGAAGGGTTGCAACCCCAAAAGTAGAAGTATTAGAAGCGAATAATTGACTGCTATTACAAGCCCATATTGCATTGAAGCCTACCATTCCAACTCTGGATGACTTATGTGTTTACTATTTTCATATTGTAACATATTTCATTTACATACATACTATAATTAAACATAACAGAAACATGTTTCCAAAACATGCCTTCATGCTTGGCCAGGTAATTCTTAGATTACATGATATTCAATACTATCAATGATTACTATGCTATACTATGGTTGTTGTTGTGCATTAAAATAAGTAAATGTTGGTCCGGATATAAATTTAGTTAAGAAATCTATAGATCAATTATTTTTGTTGCTACTTTTAGCTACTACTCGATTCTTTCAACTTTGTACATATTTAATAGTAGGATGTACGGTGAAAAAAAGAATATTTCAAAATTATCGGTGTTTGGTGAAGAATATCACACCTTAGGTTATGCCCGTCCTGCGTTATTTAAAAATTTTACATTCATGTGTTTAGGAGCCTTTTTTTCCTACTTGATTTTTGGAATCTGTTCAATTGGGCTTTAATAATGTTTTGACGATTTATGCACAAAGTACAGTTATATCTTTGAAATAAATGAAAATTTTTTATTTTATTTGTATTGATCCATGGCATAATTGCAGTATGTTTATATCTCACCAAAGTTGAATGCAAATTTTGTGGAAATTAATGTCGCTAAATTAGTTAGTTACTTTCAGACAATACGTCACAGTTATGTTGCGTTTTGCTTGGAAAAAACACCTTACACTATTATCATTGGCACATTCTTAGTGGTCATAAAAATTCCGCCAAACTTATGTGTTATGCTATCAACCTGTCTCTTTGAAAATTTTATTTTTTATTTCTATAATATTATGAAATGAATAAGTGTTAACACCGAATTTTGTTGTGTAATTCAATCACAGAAATATAGTATGCATAATGCTATATTTTTGATATTCCTGTAGTGTGTGTACCAGGTTAGGGTTAGGGCATATTTTTATTTTGATTTTCCTTATTTTAGTTCTATTACGAGTTAGCGTACTGTCTGTGTTAGTGGAGTGATTATACCCCCTGCCCATAGGTTTTAGTCACTTTACACAACTTGATGGCGAACAAAATTAGATAGCTACCTTCATATTGGTACAGACACTTCCAGAGGGCCATATTTTTTAATGATTGGTGTGGGATATCATCAGTTTTTGTATGTTTAAATTCATACACATAAACAAACCCCACTGATTTGTGAACATTGACCAAGCAATAATTTAAATATTGATATATTTATTCAATTTGTATAATGTGTGTTATTCTGTTTTTCTCTTTATCAATTTTATATTGTTAAGACGGTACTCCTGTAGTGTGTGTACCAGGTTGGGGTTAGGCCATAATTTTATTTCGATTTCCCTTATTTTAGTTCTATTACGAGTTCGGGGACTGTCTGTGTTAGCCGAGTGAATATACCCCTGCCCATAGGCTTCCATCCCTTTACACAACTAGATGTAAAGTAGGTGAACAAATTTAGTGTGTACCCCATATTGGTACACTCACTTCTGGAGTGTCGTTAAGTCTAATATAGAGTTGTTACCCATTTAAAATCTAAATTTTTATGTATTACTTTTATTGTTTAGCTTGTCAGGGACCCAAATCTTCAGCAACAACCTCAACAGCAACCTCATTCACAGACGCAACAACAAATTCTCAACCAACAACAGATTCAGCATCAGTCTATGACCTCACAGGCAACAGGACAAAGCCAGGGACATAATATCCCTCAACAGCAACAACATGACAATCAATCCATTCCAACACAACAAAGAATATCAGGAATGTCTGATAGAGATGGAACTATGCAGTCAAGTAAGATGGTGTTTGAATGTATGTATTTGAATAGGATTATCAGTTGCGATCAGTTTCTAGAAACAGCGGTTCCCAAAATGTTCTGATACATTTTCGGCTCTGGCGCATTTTGGTAACGCGCATTTTGCTAAGCGTTACCCTGCGGGGCTCGCAGGATCGAGTTTTGGGGATAATTATTCGCAAGAGGATTGTTGAACCCCTTACAACCGTAGGGTGGTTCATGTACCCGCTGGTCATTTACTAATTCCTACATCATGAAATCCATACAAACTAACCCAATTCCCGACATGTACTGGTTACTGAACTTTAGCCTGTAGTACACCATGTAATTAAGCCATCTTAGGCTAGGTTTTCCTAGCCTTTGACTATTTTGAATCTCTTTATTCTCCCTCAAAGTATGCATGCGCATCTCACACCCTGGCTTTTGTACAGTTTAAATATATGTGGATTGCATAAATATGTATTACGATAATACTAAATAAATAAGAAATATTTCTTTTCCTCCTCTCAAACAGTTGAATTTCTCTATTGGGAGTTATTCCTTTTTGGTTGGGATTTGGGAAACGCTGCCTTCAAATCAGGATTATCCGAATTTGTGCCCGAACTTCATTTCTTCAGAAAAAAAAAACTTTTAAAGGATAAACAGCTATTTGTTACCTGATTTTTTGAATGCATTATTCAGAATGACATTAAAATTATGTATATTCTGATGAAAATTAAAAATAAATATACTCTAGTTACTCAGTCCCTTGTTATCAGTTAGTCAGGCGGTATATCTGAACTATTCGTATTTTCACCAGTATATTACCTGAATTTGAGTTTATTATTGATGCAATGTCAGTGAGCTTTTATTTAACAAGTTGTATTTGCAAACGTTTGATCTCAGTCTTCTTCTATAATTTAAATTCATTATTTATGATTTAAAAGAATCTGCTTACTGACATTTGAAACATCCACTATCAAATTCATCCCAGCCCAGAATCCTTGACCAGAAATTCTTTTCTGTATATGGGTCATATCTAATTGTGTGTTTTTTTTTTAAAATCATTTTTATGGTTTAAATTTCAGTTGCCAACTCTGAAGAGCAACTCAGAACTGCATATCAACAACAGGTACTGTGTATTATCCTTTATTAATTTAATTTTCCACCGCTTACATCACAATTTTCACTCTAATTATTTGTATTAAATTAGCTTAGGTACTTATCTATATAATATGGAATCAAAAATTTTGGGGCAATTACGTTTGAAAAATTCTGATTTTATTACTGGTAGCCTTGTCTTCGATGTCTGATGACCATTTAATTTTGAAGTGATTTTTTTAATCTAAATTCCTTTTTGTACTTTCGGCCTTATCTGTTGCGTTCTCTCTGAGCTCTGCAGGTATAGGCACTGTCTTTTATTGTTTGAGTCATTCATAAATCTTTTCATCATTTATTTCCCATTTTGAACCTTGCATAAAACATATGTTATTAAAAATGCATGCTTGTCGGTATTGTCTGCCATTTAGAAGGAACGAAAATAGCAAGAGAATAGTCAAATAACTGCAGAAAATATTGCAACTGAACAGACTTTCCATATTTTTCTGTACAAATAATGATTAACATACTGTTATAAAGATCATAATGATATAAATTTAATGTGTGAAATATATTTCACTTTGTTTCCCGCTCGTTGTCAAATGTCCAAAAATCATTTCAACTTTGTATATTCAGTTATAAATATAGTTAAAACCAGGGTGGGGACTGGATTGGAATGAGAATGGCTCCCGGTCTGGTTCTGGTTCTAGAGTCCCAATATATTCGAGCCATTGATGTTTTTTGGCATGATCAATACCATAAAACATCAGCCTGTATGGCGTTTCGCAGCAATGGAACTAAAACCATGATATAAGGGTTTCATAATTTAGAAACTTTAATTTTACGATTACACAAATTTATCTTCAAACATCACAAATTATTATTAGAAATTGAATGTTTGAAATAAAAAATTGTAAGCTGAAGTATATAGATTTCAATATTTTTATGAAGTATTAAAATTTTAAAAACTTATGAATGGGAAAAAATAGTTTTATGATTAGGAGCTAGATGCACTGAAATTTTATTGGTCCGTTCTTATTCATCACATATTCAACTCTTGCATCTTTGCTTTTCAGATTTCTCTCTCGGAAATAAATCCACAGTCATATGAAAATGTACAACCAATTATGATGGTAAGTAGTAAGACTAGTTATTGATGTATTTTTAACCATTTGCATGACAAATGCTTTTTCACGACACCATGTCTTATGATTCTGCTTTTGCACTGTTTACAACTCATGTGATGCAATTCTCATGCATGCAGCATGCAAAATGATATTCACATCATACACCCCCATGACGGTTGCCACAGGAAGCGTTTTTTCCTGTCTGTATTGCTAATATTAAGCGATCCAATTTTCTATATCAATTTTATATTATGAGCAAAACTTATTAATAAAACAACTCTCTGATCTTATAATTTTGATTGTGATCAAGCATGGAATGGTGATCCATTGTATCAACTTTTCATCATTTTATACTAGATTAAGCATGAGTCAATAGAAATCAAATTTTGTTAACTTAAGTTTACTCATTTAGTCACCACATTGAAGTGTAACATGCCCGGGCTTATACTAGAGATGAATCAACATCATCAATCGCGCTGAACCTATTTTTTAGAAATTGGCTTGTGTGTCACCTGCTTTGACATAAAACCTTATAGACTACAAGCATCAATACTAGCTTTAAGGAGTGTTCCTATTTGCTGAATTGTCAGTGTCTTTTTTCATTTTATGTGAAGGCTTTCTTCTGGGTTAAATTTATTTTAATAAATATCGAAAAATTTATGAAAAAAAGGAATAGATCAAACGCCAGCTTTTGAACAACATTTTTAAGTCATTGTCTTAAAATACTAGGGAACACTTTTCTAGACGTTCAACGCACCACATATTTCAATACTTCTGATAGCGATAATCAAACATCACGATAAGTGCCGATATTACACTTTTATCTAGACAAATGCCTTTTGTAATTTGTTTGCATTGATTATGTACACTCACCAAGACATAGTTCGTCACCACAATATAAACTGCTAGTCTAGTGCTAGATGTCAACAATTCTTTGGGATGGGCAACATAATATGTCTCATTTGAATAATAATTGCTATGGAATTCAGTATTCCGACTTGCCACGCTTTTGTGTATCATAGGACCTATTTCTGGATTAGTTAAATCTGATTCTGACCGAAACAACTTTCCATTTATTTGCTTTTCATAATAACTATTCATAGTGTACTTCACATTTGAATATCTTCATAAGTATGTCTGAAACTAATTTAAATTTGAATTGATTCGGAATTACTTTTATTCAATTTTTTGGTTTTATGAAAGATTTAGTATGGCTTCATTTGAAAAATGATCAATTTGGAAAATTGAAGCCTTTTTAAAGCAAGGGTTCTCAAACTGGGGGTACATGGGCTTAGGGGTTAATCTTTCCATAACTTGTGATCTGTCTTGAAATATTTTATCACCTGATGTTAATAATTTGAAGACTTCAGTTTGGCAACTCTTTAGAAAGTTAAATTTTCATATCAGAAGAATTACCGAGTCTACATTCGCTGTTCACATGACTTATTTTGTCCAATCACAGCATGCAGGGCAATTTTTGGGGTACAGAAGCAATCTCTCCAACCTATTAATATTAGGTTTTTGAAACTCTTTGAGTATGACATAAAAGAGACTCCTTCAATTTCTAAAAATGTGTGAAAAATAGATAGCCAAATCAAATCGTTGTTTTTCTCAATTGCATTCTGCATTCATAAATTCAAAATCATTGAATATATTTTAACTTCATATGTTTTTTCTGGACCATGCCTCACTCAATTCAAGGCAAAAAGAAAGGAGAATTTGTTTAGGAACTCGCTGCTTAACATTATGTGTCTTGTTCAATGCACTAAATGTAATATTCCAATATTGACATTTCAGCCGAATTATTAAAAGACTCAGTCATTCTATAACGAATTATATCGATATGATATTACCTGAGCAAAGTTATATATTTGAAATTCATTCTTCTTTAATTATATAATGTCTTACGACTATGAAAAGTGTTTGTTTTACTATGACTGCATTATTCATTATAGTGGTATGAAATGTCTCTTGTCAGTTGTCACTATGCAGTAAAATTTAAAACTGAAAGAATTCAGAAATTTTATTGTAAAAATTAATAATATAACCTTAAGAATATGATTTTACAAATTAAGTTGCGTCAAGCATAAAATATTTCCATAAATCTTTGGCTTGTCGCCAGATTCAGATGCATATAAAATCAATAAATATCGCTCGAGTAATTTTGTCAGCTCATTATTAAGAGTAATATTTTCACTATGAAAAAAAGGTCCATAAATATATATTTATGTAGCGATAGAATGATTTTTCTGCTGTTTTTACTATAAAAAAAGCTACCAGTATAACTTGTATACCACTGGGTGTACGGCTTTTGAGAAAAACTGAAAATCATTTCATGTTACTACCAAAACTAGAATTTGCCTAAATTTTGATCAACATAGAAAATGTCGTGATACTGCCGTGCACAGTCACTCAGTTACTGTCTGAGTTGAAGCCTAAAAAGCTTTTTGTATGATAGGTTAATTAAAATATCACAAATCAACAACTTTACCGTTTCAGTGACAATTCGCTGTAGATATGAAATCAGTATGAAATACCTCCTAATCGTTTCCATCTAGATTTTCCAACTAGATTTGTATTTTCACACTTAATATTATTTTATTACCTATCAAGTATAAAAGTACATTGTGTGTTACATTGCTTCATCTTGTGCTGTGTGATTTTCCTGCAAGCACATATATCTTATTATAATTTCAGCTCGCCGATCCGTCTCGTGCGGGCGATGAATTGTCTTGGTCAATGTGCCAGTTGCGTGCTTCCAGACAAAGTTCCATGCTGGAGCATAATTATCAGGTAGCCATTATTCAAGTGATCTTGAATATAAGACCGTCTTTTGGTGATTTGGGGAGTTAAGAATGCTTAAATACTTGCTATATTGCTGTAACCTAATTTTAAAGTTACCTGGATTGTCTTGTTATGAATTCTATTTCGTTACAACGAATTCTATTTCGTTACCTAGATTGTCTTGTTACGAATTCTATTTCGAATGTTAAATCTCAACTTATCCAGATTTAAGTTTTAGTCTTGAAATTCAGGATGTTTTGCAATAGTACTGCAATGGGACTAAAACATATCTACATTAATTCTCTGTACTAAATTCTATATAGGCTATATTCATTCCAACTGTGTTTTTTCCTTGGTTCAGTTTTAGGAATTCAGGAAATGTTTTGCATGGCTTATTTGTTTCTTTTATATATTTCACTCTATTCACTTCAATTTTTGGTGCCATACCGGAGTTAGATTCCATGTAATTTTTTTTAAATTGGTATCAGTATCCATTCTTTGATCTGACGAACCTGCTGGCTAAGGCTTCATAGTTAGCTTTACAGGTTTTATATCATAATCTTTGTGCCTGAGAGTTGTTGCGATTTGGACAGTTAATTAATGCTTAGTGGCAGCCGTTCTGGAGAAACGACCAAACATAATATAGGCCTAGTTATACTACATATAATTTATATCCCCAATCCTATGTGTGCTGAAAAACCATCCCCCAACGACATATAAAAATATTCAGAATTTTTTATTATAATTTTGGATGTTCTGAATTGATTCATAATAATATTATGTGTCTGATTTGTACCAAATGAAATTTGATATCAAATAAGATTTTTTGGAAAATTTGCTTTCTCATATAAGGGGGATGGTAATTTTTGATTAATCAAATTTATAATACCGGTATATAACTAATTTGAATCTTTTATTTTGAGTATCACTTAAATTTCAAGTTTACTCCTATAATTTGCTATTTGATAAATTTTATAGATGTTATGCCATTCCTTTCTAAACGAACTTGAATGTACTTATTAAAATAGAATTGTTTGAGGAAAGTAATAAAGTTCACTTTTTTGTTTTTAGAATAATCAACCTCAAGTTCCAAACGAAATGATGAATTCCGCAGATGGACAACAACAATCTTATACTCCATACAATACAGTAGAACATGAACAGTTTCTTCAACAAAATTATCAACCATATGAAGGTATAATGCAGGCTATAATGAAAAATACTTTCAGCACATTTTTACGAATAAATGTGTTTTTGGCATTCGTAATGTTTATACTGGAGACTCCCCAACAACAGATCATGTAAATTTCTTGGATTTTTAACTGTTCCCAAATATTTCAGTATTCTAGGACATTAGTTATGTTCTCATATTCCGAATGACCCTTGTAATGTTTTTCGGGGTCACCCTCTCACTACTTTTCTACCTTTTATGGGCCATAAGGTGCACCGAGTGAGTTATCGAGTCCATTGTAAATAAATTGCTTAGATTGGGCTCTTGTTCATTAACAAGGTGCACCGGGATATAAGACTTATCTGGTACTGTTTTGAGTGTACAAGATAAAGCACTACACGATCCATACATTAGGCTTAGGCGCACCGGCTTATAAGCTGAACAATCAATTTATGTTCCATAAAATACGATAATGGCTAAATTCCACATAAAAGTTACATCCATACTAGTTTTTATAAGGAGCTCCAACGCCATCACTCAAGGCTCTGTACCAGCAGCATAATACTTAGAGGGCCTACTGATTTTAGAAAGACCGGGACCATTTCTGTTTGATGTTGCCCACCAAATTTATTATATCTTTACTTCTGGGTCGAGTAGTGAGTATAGGGTTTATCCCGAGATTCTCAACTTGGGATGTTGTCATAGTTCCCAAGCCACTCACCTGTCCCAGATTTACCTTGTAACAAGAATATATTTGTTTTTTAATTTACTTTTTCTTATTTCCAGTTCATCTTCTTCCCAATGTCCCACAGGATTCTGTTCTTATTTTTGAAAATTTTCAAGATATTAAACAAGATGCGGATGGAACTCTCGCTATATCAGGTTTAACACTAGTTTATTATTACTAGTTTTAGTTAGAATCAGAGATGGTTGCAGTTAAAATTATTTTCTATTTTGAATTTTCCAATGTGAAATATTGAATATATTCTATATTGGTTCATGTTCAGCAAAAATTCTTCTGAATCCACAGAAAATGATTTTGCTAATGCTCAGATAAAAGCTGTTTTATTGATTCTCCATTTATGATGGTGTTGAAAGCTAAATGAAGCCAATTTTATGTCTGGCCTTCATATGCCAAATTTTCGAAATGTCTAATTTCCAAATTTTTCCTGAAAACAAAAATTTGATATATCAAATATGACTTATTTCAAGTGTTTTCGATTATTCGTTTCATTTATGATCACTGTTTATATTTCCCACTTTACATTGCTGTCCCATTGTTGTGAAAATGAATATGCAGCAAGCAGCATATGAAACAGTTGCACAAGATCCTATTAACCCCCAAGTGTCTCCAAAGTGAAAATCTAGATTCAAATTGACAAATATTATCTCAAATCATTGTCAGAATTATTAAGTTTTATAAAGGAAATAATGATTTATCTATATGGACTATATCTATATTGGATTAATTGGTTATTATATCTTATATCTGTTGAAGAAAAAACATGTTCTTGTTCTCAATTTGAAACATATTTTTTATTCTAGATCCCAAACATCGTAAAGATGGAAAATCAGAGAAAAAGCATCGAAGAACGAAACCAAGAAAACAACACGATAAGCTGAGAATCTACGTCATAAAAGTATGTTTTTAAAATAAAAATCATCTTGGTATACTTTTAGATAGTGGGTATCAAGCAAATATAGATCAATACACCAATATAGAAAAGAAAACTAAACTAATGACAATCTACCTCTAATTCAGTTTACAGTTGCAATTTCCTGATATGGCTCAATAGCCTGGCGATTTGCTAATTGTTAGAAATGTACTTGCTATCACACTGCTTATTGTCCGGCATTGATTCACAGATTCAATACTTGTAGTAGGATTTCTAGAATAGAATCCCAGACGAGACAGGGTGACACACATAAACGCTGATCGATTACGACATTCTCCATCGCCATAGTCTATGCTCTGAATTTACAACTGGGCAACTATTTTGTTATCCAACCTGGTTTGGTAACTGGAATAGTATGGTTTGCTGAATGAATGAGCCGTCTTATCCCCATTCCTCTTTCTTGGGGCTCATATATATATACTACAATCCGATTCTATATGTAACATGTACTATGTTGAAGCAAAAAATTGAAAAAAGTAAAATTTCAGTCCATATTTATGGTCATGTGCCTATGTTTTTTTTTTGTTGTTGTTGTTATAAAAATACAACATAAAAATTTTACTTTTTTTTGTATAACAATTTCACATCTTTTCCTTTTCATTTAGGTCAGTGCACCTGATCGTAAAGAAGAAGAATCAGAAAAGCAAACGAAACCAGCTAGTGATGATTCTGTTAAATTGGAACCTATCACAGCCGTAGCAGTGATAACAGAAAGTGGGGAAGCTGATAAGAAAATGGAAAGCCCTGATAAAGTTAGCATATCATGCCAACTTTATCTTCATAATCAGGTTTGTTGAGGTCTTACACCCTTTGTGTTAAATATGGGCTAGGCTTCAACGAATTACAAAGAAATCGGGTAATAATAATATTTTTAAATGGGATTGTTGTAAAAAAGCCATGAACGATCTAAAAATAGAACAATTTTTGATATTTTTATAATTTTGAATTAATATTCCCGCCAAATTAATTTTCATTTCTGATAACAGGTCAATTCATTCAAATTCATTATGGATAGTGAAACACCAACTGAAGTTTGGAAAAGAATGGTTGCTGAATTTGGTCTCTCGGAAACAAATGAAGATGTTTTTGTAGAACAACTCCATTCTATCATACAAAAGGTAAGTGTTTTCATTTTGCGCAAAGTCTTCCTTCGTTAAAAACTCTTGGTATTGTTCTGAATCTAAAATTCGAAGTCTTAACCGAATCTTATTCTTTTTAGGTTCGTAAAGGAGAATATGATGGAAGACCTCGGCTCACAATTCTACATTTACAAAAGAATCAAGATGATGAAGTGGAGGTCGAATGTCAACTAACGACCTTCAATCTAAAAACAGTGACCTTTAAGGTGAGAAAACCCAATAAAAATTCTTCATACGATGTATTTATATGCGTTCTGCTCTGAACAAAGCTTTACACAACCAGCCACTTCTAGAAATATACTTTCAGCATAGCCGACCCAATTAATTACACATCGGGTGGGTGTTCATGAGATTTAACCTCAGAGTATTTAACCTGCGATATCAACATATTTGCATCAAACTCCACCACTAGGCTCTGTCAAGTATGGATCATGGATGGAATGTGATATAAGGATATGTTGTGTTTTGCTTGGCAATGAGAAAATCCTGATTTGATCAGTATGATTGTTATTTTTCATTTAAAAAGTAACTGAATTTTTTTAGATTTCAAAAAATCGTAATGAGACTTTTTTAATTAATCAACACCTTAATTCCCAGTTTGAAATAATCTAATTGCTTTTATACATGGCCTCGTATGGTACATGGATAATATGTATTGCTGTGGTGAGGTCCATCGTAACATCATGCTTGATTTAACCATCTCAATGTAACCTGTCCCTTGGGACCTTTTGGATTAATTTTATTGATGATTACTGAATTTATAAGTCCGTTAGTTATGTCTTGAACCATCTTAGTACAAGTGGATATACCTGTTTGATGGTTAGATATTGTGCCATGCACTCTTTATGTGTGTCTTTATGTCTGTATGTTTTTAAAGTAATAGTGCGGAGTCGCATTTTGGTATTGCACGTAAAATCGTTTTCGAAGCTGTGAGGTAATAATAAATCTTACCAACTAAACCTGTTTTTTTTAGACAGCTTTATTCACTCTGAACTAGGCTTTATATAAACAGCAATGTAATATTAGACAAACAGTTGGAATAGATTCTGGAATTCTAGGGTTTATGACAAAATGGCGAATGTTGTAATTTGAAAAAATTAAAAAAATATATTGGGAAAATGGGTGCTATTAAGTTGGTATCTAATCAATCTATTTGAAGCAATATTCGTCAAAGTATTTCAATAGAAATTTAAAAAGAATTCAAAAATCAAAAATACATTTTTCTTTAGTTTCTCAAAACAGTCTATTCAGATTTTGTCACTTTAGGTTGAAACAGATGAATTGTTCTTTATTGCTGTTTGAATTCTAAATAGCAAATAATAATTTTTTATGTTGAATATATTATGTAAAATTTCCAGTTCAATATTGATGAAGATACACCAGAGGAAATCGCTGAAAAAATGATTCAGGCTGATTATTTAGAAGAAGTTAATAAAGATGCTTTTAAAGTAGAAGTTCAAGATGTGTGTGCTCGTGCCAAAATACAATACAGTAAATATGGAAACGAAGGTGGAAGAAAAGAATTAACTTATACTTCTTCCAATACGTCATCACCACTCCCTCCTGTTACAGCAGAACAATTGTCGTCGATGGTGACGGCAAACGATGGTGCGAGATTGTTAGAAAATGTCAGCGAAGTGGGGTCTGTTTTAGGTTCCCCAAAAACTGACGTCGATTCTGATCTTACAAGCGAACAACAATTAGATAAAGCAGAACTCGAAGGACATAAGATGGAACAAGATTGGGTAGATGGTGTGAGCACGCAAGTCGAAACTGAAACAGATATTGTAACTCCTTTACCGGATATAAATAATCTTAAACAGAACCAAGATGGGACTGGATATGCTATACAAAGATCGGCAAGTGAATCTAGTGTTTCTAGTGTAGCTAGTAGTGGCGGAAACCAATCTGGACCACATTCCACACAGGTGAACAACAGGCCGCAACAAGAAGTGAAAACGCAACAAGATGCTAAGATGAACACCAGTACGGATAGTGGATTTTCATCATCATTAAGTGGCGCTTCGCATCAAAACCAGCTACCAGGCAAAAATCAAAAATTAAACGCTTCTGAATCTGTCCCGGTTCTACCACCTACTAGCAATAGTCAGTTGCAACAACAACAACCTGTCGCTGCTTCGACGAAGGAAAATCGTCCCAAAATGCTCGATCCAGAAGATCTAGACAAGCAATTAACGGCAATCCTAGCTCATCCAGAGACCTCAAAACACATGATTCAAAATACGTTCAGTCCTAGTAAACTCACCATCAATCAAGCTGGAAACAATGACCAAAATGTGCAAAATGGAGACAAGTCCGCGACCACGACACCGATGGGACAAGGCATCGATAAAATGGTTCCTGTTGCCCTACCGTCTGGTGAATCAGTCATGATAAGTCTGGGATCTCTCACTTTAGCGATAAAAGATAACGAAGCCAGGGAACGGGTTAGTGATTTTGGAACCAACCAACAGCAAGATTTAAACTTGGACACTCAATCTGCAACTGTGAAGCAGGACAATGTACAACAGAAAGTTCTGTCTCCTTCTGAAGACGGTGTGCTCGTCAAGAACAGATTTTTGGTATCTAAAGTCGAAGATGTAAATTTGGCTACAAATACTCCAGATACAGAAGAAAACAAACCACAAGAAAAAGATGAAGGTCATGCTATTCACACTAAACCATCAAGCGATAAAACTTCTGTTGGGTCATCTGTAGGAAGCCAAACTCAACCAGCAGAAAAAAACGGTGAGGAAAATTACGCAGAAGGGGAAGTACTGCAAGGCGATCATGCATCTTACCAAGATACTGCGGGCAGCGACAAAAGTAGTATAAGTTCAGCTGCCGGTATGGCTATAGCACAAGGCATGCAAAGAAAAGTGTCTCTGCCTTTGGCACCTGTTGCGACCAATACGTCGCAAGATTACTATGTGAACGTGTCGGCTGCTAATTCACAATCCTTCCCGGAGTCAATAAAATCGCCTATACAAACGATTGGTCGATTTCAAGTAATCCCTCGGGAAGAGGTTCAAACTGAAACTGAAGTCTCGCAACCTGTTGATGCTAAGGATAAACAATTAACACCAGCGAAGACGAAATTAAATGACGGCAACTCGCAAAAATATGTTCCACGAGAACAAGATCGGTTCGCTGTGCCGACCAACGTCCAAGATTTGGGTCAGTCAATACAAGTGAGCACGCAGGATACCATAAATACGCAAATGTATAATCCAGATCATCAAGTTCTCTTACGGCATCTATCGAATGAGGGCGTCAGTACATACAACGGATATGCTTTCGATGTGTCGGCATCTCAATCTGCTGATATGATGCAAGCGTACCAGAGCAGTATTCCGTTAGCAACAGCTCAAGGACAACCTCCACATTTGATTCCGATGCACACCTCTGGCCCATATCCATATCCGACACCATATGCTGCCAACTTCTATCATTCCAATCAGAGGCCTACGACACTTCAAGGGTGAGTTCAGGATAGGATTTACATGTTTATCCGGGGGGAGGAAAGCTGAAAAGTTGGCTTTATCATATGGCGAACCATGGCCTCTCATCCAGTTACCAGTCCATGTTGGGTAACCCATACCCAGTTATCTGGCAAAGTAATCAGCCTTGCTAATCCGTCTACTTTTCTACATGCCACCCTATGCTAATAGTAATGCTATACCTATTGCCCATGCTTGGCTTAGTATAAGTGGGTACTAGTTTACTAGTAATCATTTTTTATTTCTCAATAGTATCACTCCTGTACGCAATGGTGCTGAAGTACAGCCGACAAATGATGAAGAATACACTGACGACAAAAAACAATATCGACAACAACAAACATCTGTATCGTTACAAAGATCAGCTCGATCTCGTACTAGTAGCTCTAACAGTGACTGGAGCAATTCATCACAGATTGGTAAGTGCCATGTTTGAAATTGCAAAAAAATGTTCTCCTGTTGTATTATTCATGTTGGCAAACAATATTTCAGTGAGTGGACAGCAAGATGATCGCAGAACACCAAGCTCAAGTAGTACATGTTCAAATGCAACTGCAGAAGAATACAATGAAACAGCAAATATAGAACAAAGGGTATGTTTTATGTAAATTTTGTTATATTTTGAAAAGTTTATTTGCACAGTTTATCTGAGCAGCCACGACTCGACTCAACTTGTGAAATCGGGAATTGAAATTCAATAATATCTGGCCTTTGACTTTGTTATCAGCACTGGAATTAGACTTTTCATTGAAGCAATTTATTGAGATTGCACGAGTACATTTAAAATTGTGGGATACAAAATCAACTACACTGTAGTGTTTTAATATGTAGTCATATAGACTGGTTAGAACCGGATTTCACCAGTCTGTGCAAAATGGAAATTCTTAAATGAGAATTTATGGAATAGGACTTGGCAAAACAGAATTTACTTACTATCAATACAGTATATTCTCATTTTTTTTCACTATTGCATTCAAGTATATCAATTTGCATTAAATTTTCAGCCTCTTCCAACTACTGCTGCTTTACCAATGAATGTAACGTTATCAAATCATGTTGTGCCGACTGCTTTACTGCATGGATCAATGCAGCCTATGTATCATGACACTCATATGGTTAGTCATTTTTTTTTATTCACATAGCTAAGTTCTCCATCAAAGGTATATGATAAGATTTTTACATTTATCCCTGAGGAGAGGAAAGTGGTTGGGACAGCTTGATCCTATGGCTAACGACGGCATCTCGTCCAGTTACTAGTCTAGGTCTGGAATGGGAATGGTCATCAACAATGGTATTTAGTGAGATCTGGACATTTTTTTCAGTTTTCAATAAACTTTTTCTTTTTATAGGCACTTGGCAGAGATCTTCCAGTTATGTGGTCTCAACCTGGAAATCTACCGATAGCTGCAAACTATCCAATTCCGTTTCCACAATCCACTGTTCCCGTCCCTCACCCAAGCATTTCTAGGATTCAGCGACGAGACGTCACAGGAGAGCAAAATCACATTCGACCATCATATTCGCCTGGTATCGCAACTCCGAACTTGGGTTCGCCCACTCCATCTCAATATGGCGAAGAAAAAAGTGAAGATGATTCTGATGAATTATCTGAAGATGTCGATTTCAAAGATTTAATAAAGAGGTAACGTTTTTTTTTTCAAACAGGAATGCCATTTTTTTTCTTTTTTGGCAATTTTGTAGTTCTGTATTGTATTGGGCCAAGTATTTGATCAGGGGGCCATTCGCCAAACTTCGTTACTATTTAACATGTTAGTGCTTTATCAGAAGAAGAGAAAATGACATTCACAAAATATCGTAAATATTTGAGAGAAGTTTTCCGAAAGACCAGTCGATATTTTTATTTCTTCCTTTAATTTATTTTTTTATTTTTTAGCCATCAAAACATGCAATATATCATAACTTACTTACTTGAAAAACAGTATATTAGAAGATATTTATTCTCAAAATGTGAATATCTCACTTTTTGTTCAAACTAAATCCTACATACCAATAACTAAAATGTTTCCATGTTTATATTCACAGGCATCAGCGAGAAATGGAAGAATTGATCAAAAAACATCGCCAACAGTTGGATAAATTACGTCGCAATAAGCGTAAACAAAAACCGAAAGGAAAACAGTCATCGAGTAAATCTTCAAACATGAATTCTCAGCAACTGTCTCGCAGCGATTCAAAGAAATTAAAATCTGGCGTGAAGCACAGCACGAGTGTTCCAACAGTTGCTCAACCATCACAGGTAATATCTGATATATCTTGAAGATGTGGCGCTGAGCGTCAGGAAGACTCCGCAGGTTCGAATCCCGGGAGGGACAATTATGTGAGTGTAAGAGGGTTGCTGGACTCCTCTCGCTTAGGGTGATTCGCATGCTGGTCGGTTATCAAGTCCATGCATCTGAGGCAAATTACAGACGACCGACATGGACGGGTAACTGGACGAGAGGTCGTGGTTTGGTATATCATTAGGCCGTCTTATCAGCTTTCTTCACTCGAGATAAATATGTAAACCCTTATCCTGTCTTCTGTGTTGCGTGGTTCATTGGTACTCGAGAAAGGTTTCGCTTAAGGATCCTATTCAAAGAACTCTTAGTCATACTGTAAGAATCATTTGCTCAAATTGATCATTTTCCAATAGCATTTTTTTTTGCATCAAATTATATTTTCACATTTTTCATAGTTCGAGCTGCCTAATAAACCAGACCTGAAAGCTAGTCAGAAAGTGAATAAGCCAGTCCCAGTCTCGAAACCTGCCACTGTACAACAACCAGATAAACCAGGTGAGAAATTCTTTATTTTAACTTACCATACAATCTAATAATCACTCAGCCACATCAGGCCAAGCCTAATCAATATTAAAAATATCTATGTTCATACTTGATTACTGGGTGTTAAATTCATCATAATTTACCAGTAGGTTTTTCTGCCTAGCTTGGGCCGACAATAACCACGCTCCAATAACTGTATTAATCATGGGCCAGCTATTAAATAAGTGACTAAATTATTAATTTACCATGTTTCACCCTTGATTGTAATATGAAATTGGCCTCCATTGTCATATATCTTTGGTCCTCACTTGAAAAAACTGATTAGGATGTATTTAGTTATATTCATTTTTGGCTTGTGTATAATTAATCCAATAGGCAAATTCCCACACTAAATAATTTTTTTGTTGAATGGGTGTCATTGTCGATGCCATCTTGTTTATGTCCTAAATTCCAGTTTTGTCTCGATTGTCGTCTCGTTTATTCATTTCTATATAAATCATCACATTTTCTCTTTTTTTCTTATTCTTATTCTCGCTTTCCACATTAAAGTAAAGAGAGGCAGCGTGAGCGAATTTTCGGCATCGCAGGTAACAACATCTGTGATGTTCTAACTCGCCTCACCTTTTGTGTGCACGACGTCAGCTTTAGCTTTTCTGGGTCATATAAACCATTTTTTGATGTCGCTTTACTCGTTTTTGGGTTTACGAAGCCTTTTTATTATCGTATCTTGTCATAAAGCATGCGTTGTATGTTTTTGTCGCCTCATCGTTTTCTCTGTTGTCTGTTTTTTTTCAATGTTGTTCGTTATTTGTGTTCGTATATGGCGTAAAATTTGGCAATTCAGCCTTGAAATACTAATAATAACTTAAAAAACCTTGCAAACAGTGTAAAACCACCAAAAAATGGAGATTTTTGATCTGGAGTATTAGAATAGAATTAAAAGTAGAATAATTTTAACACATAATCTTTGAATTTCTATAAGGTGTGTTGGGATTGGCATTATACACAGTAATTTCATTATTCATTTATGGTTGTTAAAACTTTGCACAGGCTCAATATTAGAACTGAATATATCCCATCTTTTTAATCTTACGAGTTGAGTCACAAGTAATGATATCTGGGTTATCAATTATAATATTGATAATTATCAATGGGCGTAAATGTGAAATAGTCGAATCCTATGATTCTGATATATGTTTTATAATATTAATGTAAAAATATTTTGGTCTACTTTTCTCTGAAAAATATTAACTTTATTTTACTACAAATTTATATTCTGAAAAAAAATTCTCGTCCATAAAAATGGTTCTATTAGTCTCAAATTATGGGTGAGCTTTGAATTGTGTTCGGTTGGTACAATGCATACACACTGCTGTTTGCGTGTTAAATACTCCATCCATTTCATATTTTTTTATTTATTCAGTGTACTCCGACAGTGAGAATCTTCGAGCACTTGCAGCAATACAGGGCCAGAACATTGATAGTTCAGTGAGAAGTAAGATTGTACCATCCCCACGTCCATTCGATTTTAACTTATCTCGGAGAGGTAGCAATGATATTCCGTCTCCTGATACGCCCCACTGTTCCCGCCCAATTTCTGTCTATCATTCTCGATCCTTTAGCCATGGACTCATTCGTCGAATTAACTTTATTCCAGCCACCCCGAACGAAATGGTCCCCAGTCCTCTTGGATTCGAATTAACTAAAAACATTGTCACGCACATGGAGCCACGTTTGCTGTCCCCAAAAACTGTTGGCCGGCCTGCTAGAACCCAGCGTAAAAAAACTGTCGAGGAACCTTTAAGGCCAAACCCTGAACCATCAACTGGCATTTCAATGTCACGTACGGAAAAATTACTAAAAGAAAGAGAGCAGAACAGATCACCCTGGACGCAAGGCAGTCGTCTAACAGCACCAACATTCAAAACAGGTTAACAAGCGATAGCATGTATATATTAGTTCAGTTCCTAGAAGCTTATCAGGTGCTTTTCAGTTGTTTTATGTTCAGCTTTCAGTTGCACTAGTTTAGATCTTATTTACCTTAGCCATTTTGGCAGGATATGATTTTCTTACATACCTGCCTCTGTTGACTGATATTATATTACCTTAGTGCTCATAATAGTTTTGCCAATTTTACAACATCCTCTTCGCAATTTTATTTTTCGACGGCAGCGAAGAAAACACAGACACAGAGATACGAGAAGAAACTTTTTTTTTTCTAATTATTTTTGATTCAAATTTATCGAACGCAATCAAAAAGTCAAATTAAAAATTTCAATGAGCGAATAATTTTGTTTCATTTTGTAATAATTTTATGTTCATCGCTTTTTAATTTCATAATTCAAAACAGGAAATTTACCGAGCCCTCAGATGGGACGACGCAACAGCCCCAAAAAGCTACGCAGACATCACACTGTCACTGGGTGGGAAGGTATGCTAAGTCATTCAATGCCATCACCCACTTGGAATCAAGCGTCTGCCAACACAAAAAGATTATTTTTTCGAAAGTCAGACAGTGATAATGGTATATTTGGAACAATAATATGCTTGAATATGGACTGTAGAGGATGCTTCATGTAATCTGTATAATTTCACTCTCATTAGTAAACAAACCATACTTGGTTGTCTGCTCTGTAATTCTTTACTATATTAATTCATAATTGCAAATTTACGGCATAACTGCCTAATAAAATTTACAGAAATAGTTTTTTACCAAGCATGACCAAAATGGTATGTATCATCCATACCTGATAATATCCTAAAAAAGAAATATTCTGGATATTTTTATTCTTGGTTTTATATAAAATCTTATATCTTCCGTGTGAATCCAAATTTAAATAATCATCTCTTATCATATTGAAATCTCAACAAATGGATGTAGCGTATTGCGCTTCTAGATGCATTATGGTGGCCATAGTATATTTATGAAGGACGATATTATTTCTAAGTTACCGGTAAATGTTCAGCTGAATTAGTTCATAATACATCATACATGGTATGTGCTGAATCATTCACATACGTTTCACTAATACTAAATTCAATAAAATCTCCTTTGAGTCGAAATACTAATATGTACACTTACTTTTATTTATTGAGGTAAATGTTCTCGAACCTAACCTTAAAAATTTCGGTTAGAGTACCATTAAAACAATAAATATACTTCTGGCTGTAAGCGTCATAGACCGTCAGCTGAATTTTCCATCTATTATGGAACGAAATTAGCAGGATTCATTTGAGAAGAACAAATGAATTCTGAAGTTGGTTCAACTTTTTCGAAATGGGCGCAGACTTCTGCCCGTATGCATGTAGTAGATGAAAACAGCATGTAATATATTAGCTCTGGTGTTTAGACTTATATATCTGTATAGGTTTATGTTGGTCAATATTTTTTCTGATCACAGAGTCGAAAGATAATTGATATAAATATTTTTACTTTGTCACAAATTTAGAGGACGATTTTAGAGGTGTTTCCCATTCAAGGCGTTATGCCTTCATTACAATTATCTTATTTTGCTTTTTTTCTGTCATTATTCCAAATTATTAGGTTTTCTAAGATTTTCATTGCATGACATCGAATGAGGTTTCAATTTTTGTGTGAATTTCTCATTCCCTTGCCAGTGTGGAGATTTCTGGTTTGAAAAATACAAACTGTTTTCTTTTTGATTGAGTAATAAAATTTTTATTGCTTTTCATACAATCATCATCAAGTCAAGTTATTGTCTTGGGATTTGATTGCAGTGAATGCAAGCAAAAATGAGATACATTACTATACTAATATTGCCTGTTTTGAAATATCTGTCGGTTGATCCAAATTTATGAAGTATTTCGTGTTTTATTATACCAACCACAATAAAATAAGACATGAATTAAAAAAACTGATCAAAAGAATGCCCTTTTTGAAGTCTACGATGTTTAGTTTTATTACTTCAGTTTATTCTGAATTTAATCAAATACGGTATTGAAAATGGCTCTATATATCATTTGTCTGAAAATTTGCGTTCATTTTAAAATTTAGAATGTCTAAATGAGTAATTATCACTTTTTTTGGTTCTGTTACTTTGAAGAACTTTTTTGTGTATTTGTTCCATTTATTTTTATTTGTCGAAAAAGACTTCTATAACTTGATTTGAATGTATTTCAGGTCCGGGAATGAATGGAGATGTTCATCCTCTATCACACTTGCAAAGTTTTCCTTCATCTCATCCCCATGCATATCAAATGTCTCGCGTACCTTTAGCTCATATGGAATCCACTGAAGTTTGGCAGACACCTGATACAGATAATCCTCACATGACAGGCCAAGGAACTGGCGCCATGTTTATGAAAAGCCAGGAGGTCGGCGATCAGCAGCAAAATCAAAAGCGTTCGTCGGGGCCAATTGAAAAAATTCCTGAAGGGTATTTCCCCACCACAGAAATGGGGCCTCCTGTAAGGACAGATAAAATGAAAACGCAGATGAATGTTGAGGAAAGTAATTCTGTGAAAATGAAAGACTTCAGGCAACCTCCTGGCGCTGAATCTCTCCCAGGAAAGCCAGAATTAGCATCCAACGATATTACCCCTCATCATGGTCGTCACCAGTCTATTGCCAGCATTCCAGCCGATCAACGTGCTTCCCTTATGATGCCTTATCAATATTACACCTACCACGGCGAGGCCCCATACAATTCCATGCAAATTCCAGCGCAATGGGCACCGCAATTTTATCGATATCCCCCAAGCGCATTCATGCAGCCTCTCCGACCAAGTGATTTATCAAAAGACTATTTTAATATGCCTGGTGGTGATCAGTCAGTTCAGCCAGAATCCTATAATGTATCTAATAATGTAGGGCCTGCTGTCCACCCCCATGTTCAACCTTTTCCACCTGGAATGAATCCAAATTCCATTCCAGGTTTTATAAGGCCGGTGGTTACTCCTGTACAGCAGGCTGCCCCATATCATCCGCATATGCAACAGTTTATAATGCGACCAGTTGCCCATACGCAGGATATGCAAGGAAGTTATTCTGCGTATCCAACAGAAAGAACAAATCCAGAAACGCAAGACGATTGGGAAACAATGAGCACTTCGTCCGAGTTATCAGTTACTAACAGGTTACCGCCAGCGTAACATTGGTTACATTCTCTGTCATACAGATGATTCTTTCTACTTTTGTGATGTAAATGTCTCTGAATACCAAGATTTATCGCCTTTTCTTATATGCTGCTGACATTGTCGAGTGTTTAATAGTATTTATTGAATTTTATGAGCGTCGATATATGCCGTGAATTTTTGATATTTTGCAATTAATTTTGCTGCTTATGTGACTGATTCTTCTTCTTTTACTTCGGGCGTTGGTATATTGTCTTCTAAATCGAAAGACATTGAGTAATTTTCTGTTGTTGCAGATTGCTTGCCTATTTATGAGTTTTCTTTGGTAGCTTCACGTAGATGTATTAATTTCAGGTTTTTGCTGAAGTTTAAATCAGACTGATAGCTGATTAGATGAACCAACGTGAATCACAGTTTTCAAATTCAAATCAAGCCTCTGAATGGCTACTTCAAGATCTTTTAAAATGAATTTATGCTATTATCAATGCAACTTTATAATAATGTCTCTTTTCAATCTGAAATAAGAACAATTCAGGTTATACCAATCAAATTTGTCGATTTTATTTTTATCTGGCTTAGAATAAACTGAATATTCTGTTGAGTTGTTTTTCTCCTAAAATCCACTCTGATTTGTACCAGTATTTTTACTACAGTTTGTCTTTATAAAAGTACTTCAAGTACCGAAGGTTAATTTTTGTAAAGTTAGAAATGTAACGGAAAACACCCTTTCACATTGAACGAGCCATTTTTGAATGACAAGTTAAATGAATATTAATAATGAATTATATGAAATACTGGATATAAACATTGATTCCCTTTACCACCACGAGCTTTAGGTTAAGTTAGTCACTACTTTTGCAGCAAGAATTTTTTCATCACTTCTGATTGCTGAAAACCCAGATGCCATTTCTGACTAACAGTTCAATTACTATGAAATGGTAGTTGATTTAATGTTTTTAGTGAGATGCGTTTAAGCAATGAAGATTCTCATACTTCGCGCATAGAGCCATTACTTGGTTTCGCGTGTGTTGTGTACTCATTTACCCCAAACAGTGTTTTCATTTTCTCTCATGCTGATATATTTAATTAATTAAAGATGACTAACTGAAATAATCTTAATTTTCTGTTGTCTGATTACACCTTCATATTGTTATATGTTCCTGTTCTAAATTTTTTTTTCGTCTTTATCGTTTTGTCTTAATTTTTTTTTTATTGAGGTTGTTTCAGCACATATTTGCATGAGAGTTTTAATTCACGAAATGAAAGAAATTTGGAACAATAATTATGCTTTTCTAGTCAAGATATTATGTAGTGTACAAAATCTGTCGATTTAATTGCATTCGAGCAACTAAAATTATTATTTCCAAATAATATGGCACATGATTTTGATTGTTACATTTCCTTTATTTTTGATGAACCTACGGAGAGTTGTATACTGTAGAGGAAAGGTCAGGGATGTCCAAAACGAATTGATTATTTGAATACATCAGAAAATTTTGATTCGGAAAATTGATGATTTTGAGCAGTCGAACAAGCAGATTAAAACATACAATATCTCAATTGATAACAAACAACACAGGGAAAATAATGACCTTTATGTTTGTGTCGTTTTCGAAGTGATCAACATGAAGTAGTAATTCTATAGTAATTTATGTAATTTTTCACATGAATTGGCCCCCAATTTCGAATGTATTCAATATTGCATATTCAAAATTATTTTCTCAGGATGGATTTGGAATAGTGAAATATTCGTTTTTGACTATCCCTGGAAAAGATCTCAATTAAGGTTTTTAAACTTAAAATGACACCTTGGTAATATATTTTTCGTGGTGTAATTTGGAAGTTTGAAATTAGGGACTTTAAAAAGAGTTTGACTAATCATATTTCAAAAAACATAACCATATGCTATATTATTTGGGAAAAAATCGCAGATGGGAAACACTCCATCTTGTTTCCTTATAGTCTGAAAGTGCTGATTGATAGTTGCAAAATTTAGTAGTCGAACATAATTCATTCAGGATTGGTGTTCCACTACTGATTAGTTCGGATACTGAAAATTGTTTTGGTCAACAGTGAAAGATCATTTTGTCAGTAACTATAACTAAACATGTGATATGTATATATAATATATATATATTTATTATTCTATGGAAATATTTCTGCATTTAAAACTTGTTTTTTTTTGTCTGAAATTTAACATTTCGCTCCTGGAAAAAGTCACTTCTATCATGAGACTCTGTTAGGAAGACACATTGTGATTCCTTTTTAATGGTTGAGCGTGGTGTTGCATTAAGAAACTTATTAAAAAAAATCCAAAAACATTTTTGGGGGGGTGGACTATTGGAAAAATCGCAACACTGTTTTTTCTGTAAAATTTACCATTTTTGCTGAGAAACAAAATTATGCCAAAGAAAGAATATAAACTTACCCAATTTGTCCCTTTCCGTTTTATATCCATGCTAATTTTTTGTTTTCAAAATTGGTCTTCTGCTATTTTCAAGCAAATTCAACAACTGAAAGATTGATTGGTCTTGAATGTGATTATGCATTCAGAAGTATTATGCGATTGGACATTCGCTCATTATATCTTGACGGTTACTCAATAATGAAATTTCCATATTTATCTAATTGAAAATATTCTTCTCGGAATATGATATAATGTTCGACGTATCCTGTATTCTTTCGATGCGCTGTATCATAATTATCCAACTGTTCTACTGGATTAAAAAAGATTCGCAATGTTACTGATGAAATTTTCCAAGTGATCTGCATCACCACAGATGGATTGTCTGCGATATTGCTAGGCACAGTTCTTTGTGATTTTCTTTTCAATAAGAGTTTCAACTTTTCCGCCTCAAATAAAAGCGCTTTTTCTCAAAATGAAGAACATATTTTATTCTTGATTACCAAGTTCACAGTCTGGAAAGATGTATATGCAAGTGAAGAAACTAATCTTAAAGGCTTCATCATTTAAATCTGGATGATTGATGTATTTTACTAAAAAAGTTGTAGCCTCAATAATTAGCTAGGACAACGACGTGCTGTATATGTCTGCTGTAAACCGCCTCTCCTCAAAACTTCGAACGATCTACTATATACAGTATTTTAATCCATTTAGTTGGGCTCAGCAAATTAGTTTTATCCAAAATCCAATCAATATTATCAGAGTACAGTAAGTCGGATTTGTTAAGTGCAATAAGATTTGCTTTACAGTCTTTGTCTCGGAGGATTTTCATATTTGTCTCGGGAGAGATTACAGAATCATGTGACGAACCACGGCCTCCCGTCCGGTTGGGGTAAAAGCCATGTCGGGTATGGGAGCAGTCGTGCAGGGTAATCACGGGCGTGGCGGTAGTCGTATTCACAACGCGTAGCACCGGACCCTTTGACGAATCTTTATCGCATAAGTATAACAAATTTTGTCATATATTCTGCAATTTAAAATAAAAACCATCTACCTTACTACATAGCAGCCCGATTTTTTCTATCAGTCCTTAAAATCGCAATATCAGATCAGGTAAAACATACTTCGGTACCGATGTATTGACGATAGTTTATAGTCATATACAAGAAAAGATACTGAAATGACAGATAAATTATAAAACTACTTTGTGCAGGATATGAGTTTTGGGGTAATAGTGGATAATTTCGTTTCGGTTTTGGTGTCCATTAATTTAAGCATTGCTTTCTTGTTTTATTCAACTCTCTCTTTATTAAATCTTAGCACTTTCAGGTCTTCAACCGGTGCAACTTTCGTGTCCATTATTTTAGATCATTATTTCGATGTCTTTACGATCTTGTTTTTGCATACCGCAGAATGTAGGTTGTTCCCGTTCGACAGTATCTCAAATACCAACAAGTCATACTTCGACAAATGGTGGTGGTGGGTAATTAAATAGCTTATATTGTTCCCAGTAAAACTCGTAAAGAGCGTGGAGTTTTTTCACTGGCAACTTCCTCAAATATTCTTTGTATTTAAATTTCCATTTGTGCACGCGAGTATCCGTTTTATTATCCCGGTGTCCTGTAAATGGAAAAAGTCATAGTAACGGCGGTGCAGAGCAAATAAATAGCCTACTCACTTCAAACTATTGATTATTTACCACGAATGTACTTTGTAGCTAGTAGTAAAAATGTTTACTATTGTTAGTTTTGGATTGTTCCATTCCATAGGCTATTTATCGAGTCTTCAAACGGGTTTTGTGATTTTCTCATAAAACGTTTTTATATGAATGTATGTAGTACCGCCTGATGCAATTTCAACATGACGGTGACGCAACAACTGAGATTTCAGCGTTCGGTCATATATTTTTTTCTCACTCGGACAGATTTCCAATTCAAATCAGAATTTCAGCGACCATTTTGTATTCGAAGGAATTTCAGTTTAGGGGCGGTAACCACGGTGGTTGCTCAAATATATGTAAAACAAAGCCCTTGAACAAGTTTATTCGTTAGCACGCTTTTACTTTCTAATAAAATTTCAAAATAAACATAAAGAATTTTGCAATAGTGAATAAAGTAAAGGAATTTTTATGGGGTCAAGGTTAGAGAAAACGCATACTGGGTTTCAAATTTTTACTTTCTGGATGGCACACTTTTTTAAAGTAATATACATTCATATTGTCGTAGTATACATACACACAGAACATCATAGAATAGCTGACTTATAAGTTGCAACCGTTTTAACATATATAAAACATATTTTTATTTATTATACATAGGTTTACCATACGTCCCACTTTAGGCGGGACAGTCCCGCTTTTCAGGGTTTTGTCCCGCCGTCCCGATAAGTCAGCCAAAAGTCCCGCTTTTCCAGCATAATACACAAAAATTTTCTTGTTACTGTTGTTTCTGTGTAGCGCACCGCTAGCCTTCTTACTGAAGGTGATGCGTTCGTTTTCCGCTGATTCCCATTGATGGCAGACGTATCGTATCGCATGTAAAACCAATACTAATTAGTCTAAATTCGAATTATTTGTACCGATATCGTTAACGTCAATTCCTTCCTATTTTTCGAACTGAACCCGATATTTGGACAGAGAATAAGCGCATGAAATTTCGATAACAATATGGTCAATAAAGACAGCCGAGACAGCTTTAAGTGTAGGAATGTAGGCCTATGTAGTAAAATCGGAAAATGTGAAGTTACAAAAACACAGCTAATGGTCGTTGTCTTTCGAGGCGTCCCGATTTGAAGTCACAAAAATATGGTAACCCTAATTATACAGGAATATTCAACTTGTATGAAATGCTTCATCGGAGAATCAGAAAATTTATTTACCTGGAAAAAGAATTCGATTGTCTATCCCAGATATTTTAGATAAATATTCGGAATCCAACGAAATTGTCTCTAATTTTGCTGTATAATCGTATCGCATATGGCAGGGATCACATATATCACTATATGATCTCCAGTGAATGTCTAGTTCTTCAGGATTGCTTAAAATACTGTCGACAAATTCTTCGAACGTTGCTCTACCAGCTGTATTTTTGTTAAGACCTGTAAAGTGTAATCGGGTTCTTATTGTGTGCTAATGTATTACTTTTATTTCGCATTCCTCTTGTTCATATTTATTAATTCACTCTGACTTTGACAAAATGTATTTTGTCTGTATTCATTTTGATGTATTCATTGATGGGAACACCCCAAGAACATTCGAAAATAACGGAAAAATTTCAGACACGTCACTTTCAAGAGTCACAAGCAACAAATTCACAATGAGGTGTATGTTATACCATGAATATGTTCCAGGGCTGTGCAGTTCAAGAAAATTTGCAGTCGACTCCTAAATCGGGTTAAAACAAAACTGTTGCTTCGGATCAGGGATAAAAAAGTTTTAGTTTCGACTCAAGCTCCGAGAAAAATCAAATTTTGATGAAAAAAACTTTGATGTATGCAAAGTGCAAACCTTCTCTCCTTGTTAAAAACGCCCGATAAACTGCTTTTATAAGTTTCTATAGAGAATTTTGACTTGTTTTATCACCACTGAAATCCCGACACCGACGAATTCCAAATTTGGGCTTCTGATTTCTGGGAGTTGAAGAATACGGCTCCGGCGCAGAGTCCAGTAAAAATATGCCTCCACAGACCGGATATATACGTGTGTTATCAAACACTACAAATACTTTTCAGCTATTTATAACAAAATCAAACTAACCGAATTTATGATGAATATCTCTTGAAATTTTTTCATATATCGTACCACCCGATCCCCCTGGTAACATTTTATCGACGTAAGCAGATACAACACGCTCTAATGGGTCTCTTACTGTCATGATGCGATAATAATTATTCAGTCTTTTATTCATCATATCTCGAGAATGCTTCGTTCGGCCTTGGAATCGTTCCCAAAAAAACCTATAATATACGAAAGATTGAAGGTGATGTAGACTGAACTTGGTTCGTTACTGAATTAGCATTAAATACATAAACATCGGCGCTTCGGGAGTATCAGTATCAAGATGACGCATGACCCTAAACGGGTACACATACTATGTTCAGGTTCGCGCCATCTTGGTACGAATACTTCAGGAGCACCTAAACATTTTATGCCTGCTGTAGTAGTTCATAGACCATATTAGTGTAGTCGTGCTCACAACGAATTTGTAGCTGTTTATCATTAGTATCTTATACTTTGATCTAGATCCAGGTTGTATGTAAACAAGTAAGTAGAAATTACCGGAAGGAGGCGTATTCTGAATTAAAATAATTGATAATATCGGCCAATGGGGAACGTCCACGAACATTAATTTTGATTAAAAGACTTACGCTCGATACTCAGGACACCAAAATTTTAGAAAGTTTGATAATGTTTTATTTATCGTATCTATTCATCGCTGGTAATAATAAAACTATCAATCCAATTTTTGACGATCTAGAAGTATGTGTACCAATATGGATGTAACTAATTTTGTTTGCCTACTTTACATCAAGTTGTGTAAAGGGACTGAAACCTATGACCAGGGGGTATATTGACTTGGCTAAGACAGACAGTCTTCGAACTCGTAATAGAGTCATAGTCAAGTTTATTTTTTCCATCCAGTAAAAAAAAACGATATGCAATATGACGAATAATATTGAATACGCATTTCACTGGGGAAGGGAAGCAGGAAAATCGGAATGAAGTTTTGCCCTATCCATAACCTGGTACACATACCACGGAAGTACCCAATTTTGTACCTTCTAGCTTAGGACTAATATTGTGATGTAGAATCGAACAATTATTTTCCTGAAAATTATATATATATATAATGTTTGCAGCTAATTTTGAAAATCTTTTTCACTCTCATTCACTGATTCAATCAAACAACAACGAACCATCATACCGACGTTTTCGGGCTAACGTGAATGCATATTCGTGATCAATGTCACTTGGAAGAGTTGTGTTCACATCGCCTTCCGCTATCAGTAACGCTTTTCTCCATTCTGTACTTCCGCACTTTGGAACTCCGCATACAATAACCTATGTTAAATAAATTAATTCCAAAAATAAAAGGGGAATAAAATCGGTTGTCATAAATATATACTAGCTTTTGGGCAAATGCTCAAGTTTTTTTAATATTCCACAATTGTTTTGAAATCACTATTAACATGGATTTAATGTGCCTGTGCTGTTTGAAATCTTTCTTCACGAGACACCGATTCGAAACTATTTCTCCGTATGCCACAGTACGCGTCGACACACTTGTTACAGTATATTCATACTAATACCATCCCCAAAATTGCATATTAACATCGCGTGCCTTGCGAGACTTGAAGGAGCCCCATAAATTATTGGCTGGAGAGACTCCGTTATCCAAACTAACCATAAAATACAACAAAGTTATTACAGTTATTTGTTCTAAAGCAAACATGCCTTTCAAAATTTTATGATCAAATAAAACATCAAACAACATGCCTTTAGCTTGTCAGAGAAATATAGGCGGGGCCTGGATGATATCGGTTTCTTCAGCCATGTCATTACATCTAAACTGCTTTCAGAATATTCATACCCAAGTTTATAACAGAATTGTCTTAAATGAGACTTTCGTTCCTTTGATAAATTGGCACCAGGTAGATAACTCAATTCAGATCTCGATATCCTTTGGTATTCATAATAAAATTCTTCATCGAGCCTGACCTCTTCAGCAGCAGACTTTCTCTGAATAACAGAATAGCATCAATCAATGGCAATGTGGGGATCTATGTCAACGTTGTCGGCTTCGGTGGCCACAAAATTAGTTTTCGCGGGCCACAATATTGCAAAGAATAAGTAAACAATGCAATACAAAAGAAACACTTTTATTGTGCAAACACTTGATCATTATTTTTTATTTACCAAGGTAAAACATGTAGAAAACACCAAAAAACTCACTAAAACATGCAAAAGTCTTTCTATATCTACATTTAGTGTAAGATTTCTCCGTAACGGAGAAAGTGCTTCCGCATATGCAAGTGCTTCCTAAGTGCTTTCGAACATCGATAAGATTCTCAAAGCAAAATCCCTCAACTTTGGAAAGCTCATAAGATTCCAATACCGTTTTAGGTTTTATTCTTTCGTCGCTGACATAACTTGCAGACATATCCAGCAAGCATTGTGGTATTTTCCCTCCCAACTCCAGTTCAAATCTGTTTGAATTAGCCAGCTTTCATTTCAAACTCATTTTAACAAAATAACTTACAAATTACCGCATATTGATTGATTTCCAAATTTTAACAAATGTGAGGTAAGGAAGGTAATTACTAAATTTGACATATAGGCAACATATCTTGTAATGCTGTTTAGACAGGTTGCAAAAAACACCCGACAGGAATTTAACGTACGTTGGGCTATAACATTAATATTTAGTTACCAGGCAGTCATAGATTCTTTATTCAATTTTCTATGATGCCTATATTGTTAGCATATATATTTCCAACCAAAAAGAGAGCGGGTTAAGAATTTAGACTAGCCAAGCATATTGTTAAACTTTGCTTGTTGCCTCAGCTAGTCGTAACACTAGTTCATTCAGTGACATTAGTGATGTAACAAGATGTCAATAGGTTTTTCTGGTTGGACAACACCAAATGCGATTTTTTGATTCCCCCTAAGCAAATGCGATGCGTGCCACAGATAATAAGGATGATCACCCTGATCTAAGCTAATTGATTTGTATATTCCGAAAGATATCATAGATATTTCATTTAGTAGATAGGTAATATTTTATCACTCGAAGTAAAACTTCATATGTAGCAACGTCCTAATTTGCTGAATATTTTAAAATGAACTTGTTTCGTCATTCAAATTTGGCGCAGTGCAAATTTTCCTCCAACTAAACGAAGCCAAAGTCACTTACATTACTCGTTATTTAATTAACATCGGACTCGTTTTTTTTTTTATCTTTCCGCCCGCGACTAGCACACATCCATTTAATGCAGTAGTGATAAGCGGTTGCTAACGGTATTATTTCTAGAAAATACTTCATATACACCAATCTTTTTATCAGTTTGCATCAGTTTTTACTATTCATTGTCATGATGTGTCTGGTTATTTTTACACATAACAATTCTTACCTTGAACGACCAATGAAAACAAAATAATGCTCCAAAAATGATTAAAGCGGCTTTGTACTTCAAATGCATCTCGTATTCCAATATGCAATAAACATATAAATCAGTCCATAGTACTTTTCAGAGTCCCCTGTTCTTATGAATATTGAATTAATTTGCTATAGTAATTTTTAGTTCAAATAATGAAATGAATCAAATATTGCGATGTCAATACGACAAGAGGAGCCATTGAGTTTGAGTGCAGCTTAGATTGCTGCTTTTTGGTGAAACACAATTTTACGTTTTATACTTTCATCTGTGACTAAACGTCCCTCGTTTCCTCGCTTCTACATTTTTTCTATACTTTTGTGAAATATTTTTATAACGATAGCTACTCAAAACATCTATTAGCTGTAGATTACAATAAATGTTAGAGATACAATTTGTACAGATACTTTAAATATGCAGCATTTTATTCCGCTCCAATAAGGTGGCGTGAATACCGTATCCCCGCAATCTAACATAATATTTTCTTTTTTCTGTAGAAAATATGTTCGCTATGCCGTAGCGGCAAACACATGGCAGTGACATATGTTAACCAGCGGTGCGCGGTTATATATGTAACATGCTGTGATATGCATGTGTTTTCTTAGAAAATGAATTTGCAACCGCCTTATAGCGTTGCTAGATTATATCACACACTAAATTAATGTAAAGAGCCCAGTCTATATTCCATTAACTGAATTGAATAAATTATTTCTTGTTTATTCTATTGACATATACCACCATTTATAAGGTTTATGATATTCGGCAAGGTTACAGCATCTTCCATTAATATATTCACCTAAATTAAACATTTCAAACTTACTAAGATTACTACGTTAAGTTTGTGTGATTATGCGATAATTCTCAAGCCTTTCTCCGATGAATCCATGTAATGTAGTGTCAGAAACAGTATTGCACGTATTCACAAGTTACAAATAAAGAAACGTGGCATGATTTGTTTTGTCATCTGCGCGGGTCGTTACTAAAACAAAGTGAATTAAATTAAGTCTTAATCAATATCATATAACACGCGAGGCAAGATAGTAAGCCTAATTACTGTCGATGCTCAGTACCAAACTCTTCAATACGTATTGTAAGACCATACATAATAAATTGAAGTGTAATGTGAATGCAATTAAAACTTTTGTTATTTATTGCCTCATAATAATTCCAAATATTTTAAATATATATATAGAACTGAATCATCTCCTGCTAAATATCCATAGACTGTAACAGCATAATATAATTGATATTAAGTATAGCCTTTGGTTATTGAATCAAATAGGCTTTTTAGAAGGGTCCTGCACTGTGCTTTCGTTTAATTTCATGTCAGTGTAGTGAAAAAATGAATAATTAAAAAAATGAATGAGTGGTACTGGTAGCCATTTTTCCTTAATCGATCCAGTAGCTACTATTTAGAGTTGTTGGCATACATTAAAGCTTATTATTCTAAGCTATCGGCCATTTGCCAATATTTAAAAGAGAAATATCAAGTTTCTCTCAGCACTAACAATATATTTGTATCTTTTTATTTGCTGTCTTCTCTTACCACCAGTTAATTTACGCTATATCTTATGTATGTCCTCATCGGTCAATATTAATCCTGGTAATGTGTGCTCACTTAGTTACTATTATTACTTATCGATTTCAATCGGTAAGTACGTTGATAGGTATTTGTCTGTTTGTCTGTCTGTTAGATGCACGCGATATCTCACGAAAGCGAGAGATTGAAGACCTCTCGAGATTGAATCTGCTCCAGATTTTGCATGTGTATTCATCATATGTCGGACCAGAAGCGTATTGATTTTGGATGAATTATGTCGTATAATTAACGAGTTATTAATTAATTAGTGATGGGACACAAGGTGTCACTATGGAGTGAGAGCGCTGTTTTGGGGGATCCCCTAACTTCCGATCGATAAGTCTTCGGTCCCTGACCGATATTCTCGTTTACTTGTCGTACTAGATTAGTTATTAACCACGGAGTGGAAGTGGACATGTGGATTGATTTGATAAGTTGTTGTGAAATAGTATTTCTCCCCAACTAATGAACCTATAAATGACTAATGTATCAATCGATTTCAAATGTCCAATGTTTGAAAATTTCTACATTTTGTTTTTTATCGTCCCATTCATATCTGAGCATTGCTGTTTTATTCATTCTAATGGGTTAGCAAAGCTAAAGCCAGCTGAATTAATGCGATGGCCCATTCTACTAATATCTTTACGTAATTTCAATTGTAAAGATTTTAAAAATTAGTAAATTATAACACGCAACTCAAGTGCGAGAATATCGTGTGGTCCTGGGAACGGTCGATATAAAAGATAACACTTGCCGACAAAAATTTTTTTTTCATGGTGTCTCAGATGTTTTAAACGTTTTTAGCAAATTTGAGGACGCTGATTCCAGAAATGCTGTTACTTATTCTCTATCAGGTCTAGTTTTTCTTCTATGGTATATTCCTCTTTGCACGATGCCGATAGCTACAATAAAGATAGGCAAATTGAAGAAACAACATTTTTCTGTAATTTTATTGAACATATTCAGTGAATCTCACCAAAATATTGACAATTAAAGCTGGAAGTTGGAAATGCTAACTAATAGATGTCATCAGCTATAAATTGACGTTTTACTGATTTTTTTTACAATAATGGGAGAACTGACATCATCGCGCTTGATAGAAATTTCCTGCTAATATATTTGAAACTGTCGCCATCTTTCTCAAGAGCATTAACAAACTGCCAAGCCTCATGTGAAGAGGAGGAAACACAATTTTGGACACTCAACCAAAGAACGAGCCAGAATTGTAAAGAAAGACACATTTAATTTATTTTGGAACTGTTTATAAACAGGCTTGGACACCAAGCTGCCGCAGCAACCGACAACGTCGTTGCAATATACTGTGTCCTTCTCCTGAGTGAAATATGACAAGATTTAATATGGCGTTCTCTATAGAATGTTATAAGAGTTCCCGGCTGAAGTAGATTTTTTTCTTTGAGTCTTGAAGCTAGAAATTCAGGAGATTCTTTGGAAAAGTTGAAATCTCTATTCAGATTATTAGGTTCTCCAAAAGAAAATAGCTATGAAAGTGAAGAAGAAAAACCGACATCTGATACAACGTATTCACTACTATCAGTGGACAGAACGGTTTGGTCTTCTTCAGAGCCAGACAATTCCAATTCGGGCAGACCTTCAAACACTGGAAAAGAAATGTCATTGCAGTGTGGAATTGGTCTAAATGCAGACTCGAGGGTTGGATAAACCAACGATTTCCTGTTCTTCCTATTGATTCCCTTCGTGTTTACTGCACAGAAGTAGCAGTCATCAAAATAATTTTTCGAGACCATTGGAATACTAAAGCGGCGTGACTTTCTATCCTCTTTGTTCCACTGTGGAAGATGCTCAATACATTGCTTGCATACAATATGGGGTGCCCATACCTTATCTTGATCACCCAGCATTATATTGAAGTAGGCAAGATAAGCTCACTTCGCAAATTTACTGATCTTTTCCTGTTGGATTGCAATGTATATTCTCCGCAAATATAGCAAATACATTTGAATTGTTTAAACAATGTCGCCTAAGAGAAGATGTAGCCATACTTAATTTTTGCTCCAAAAATCTGCAGCTCAATTAAAACAATGCAACTTATTATTCATGTCTGACTTCTTTATATATAAAATTTGACTTTTACAAGGCGTGTGATGTCATAATCGTTTGGCATACATCACAATAAAAACCTACACTTTTAATTATAACGCTAAAATCCATATAGATAAAACCCCTAATTTTAAGGTAAAAAAGGTATAAAACAGCAAATATTTCAAAAATTTGACCTGATGAAAAAAAACGAGTGTGAATTTTGGACTCAGCACCCCCAAATTAATCTAAATCAGCTTAGAAACCTTGGGCAGCAAAAATGTGTTGGCCAGTGTATAATTATAATAGATCGGTAACAGGTTTGATATTCGACAAAACTTCAATGAACCTCAGATCTTGTAGGCAGGTCGTTTTAAACACGGGACGATTGTCACACCAGAGATCAGTGCACCAGTAGTAAGATGTGAAGTGGCGGTATATACGTATACAGCCGACCAGTGTTGCGGAGTCGAAGTTTGATATATTTTTCTTGGAGTCGTATTTTCAAATAGCCCCGATTCAGAGTCGAAATTTTATATTTCCCCGGAGTCAGAATTTCACGCATCAATAGTGATAATGAAAATTGTCTACAAAAACTCGAAACGCATTAGGTTAGGGGTGTGCGACCGCAAGCCCGCGGGACACATCCAGTCCCGCTAAGTCATTTAGTGTGATTCTTGTTAACACTCCAAATTTTTCCCCATCAAACATAAAATCCTAATACGACGTTTATGTTTAAAAAACGAGTTTCCTTTGGAACGATACCAAGCCGGCACATTCGGAAGTCGGCAGCATCTGTCTCCCAGTTGAATAACGAGACGTGACGGTTTGCATCCACAATCAGCAAGTGCGATGATACAGCAATAAATGTTATATTATACTACTAAACAAAGTGTTAGTTCTAAGGCCAATATCGTGCACTTTGGGCATTAAATTGATCAAGGAGAAGACAAATATTGGGTGTCCAGTAAGGTGCTTGAGCTCACCTGTTCTGACTGCGAGCGTAAACCGGTCATTGCGCCCTGAATGCAAATGTACATAAAATTGGCTGTCATTCCGACGGATATTGCGAACAGTGTTTTGTACCCGAGGCCGTAGCCCACTACCTAATGCATTGTCAGCAATATTATCATCAGAGAATTGCTTGGAACTGACATCCGAAGAAGTGCTTAGTAACATGTACGTTATTGAAACTGTTGTTCAATTTGTTTTGTCTACGGGCAAAAATATTTAGGATTTTGCTCATTATAAGTGATTTAATTGTATAATTATTTATTTGTAAATATTGTATAATATGTTAGTATAGGATTTTTAATTCGAATCGATCAATGGCGCAAAAGACTGTGAAGTTGTAAGCGCCTTACAACATATAACAACAACACAGCCTAGTTGTAATAGCGCGAGCTTGATTGTGTTGGTGTTGTGCTCGTCGGAATTTGTCATGGTGAACTATCTACTGTTTCATACAGAACCCGCCTCCGTAAAAATCCAATCCTTCCAAAAACCAAACACATTTGCTGCTTTTTATAACGTACATTCTACAATTGTAAAATAGTTGAAAAGAATAATAAGATGCTGGTACTTTTAACAGCCATGGCACATATTTTGTTGTTTTATTTCAGACAGGATACTTGTAATATTATGATTATACTTATAGCAAAACTGTGCCCCGGGGCCGTTCAATTCTACACATCATACAATTAGAAGTAATTAAATAAAATATAATATAAATGTGCAAATAAATATTACTCCAAATTACAATATCGGCGGAGGAGGATAGTTGAATAACTTATACTGTTCTCTGTATACCAAATACAAATCATGTAGTTTTTTTGGTGGGAGTTTTTCCAAGTACACGCTGTATTTGTCTTTCCACTTATGTTCCAAACTTACCGATGCATTGCTGTTTCCTGCAAGAAAAAAATTCAAAGTTTGAAAATGTGAGCTGGTAACTTTTGTTTATTATGAATCAGCCGTGTAAATCTCTGCCGCCGGTACAGTAATTACCGATCCAATACAAGACTTCAATGTTTTCTGTTGATAATACTGAAAGTTCTATACATCCTCTTCATGAGGAGATTATTCAAAATTAATCAAAAACTACTATTTTACCAATGAAAATCATAATCCCAAAAGTCATAGATATATCTTAACTCGGAACATGTCATCCGCTTTATTTCATGACAGCATACTTCAAATCTGTTGATGGAGAAAAAAATGTCCACATTCTACTACTTCTTACTATGTTTTTTCGTACTTCATCATTTATTTGATATTTTAATTCGACAATCGACTCTACTGATTACATGAAACACATACTTGGAAAAAGAAGTTGGTTTTCAATTCCCGACTTCATTGAAAGAAATTCAGAATCCAACGAAATTGTTTCCAATTTTGCAATGTAATTATATTGCATATGACACGGATCACATATGCCATTATACAATTTCCAGTGAATATCAAGACCCCCAGGATTGTTTATAATGCTGTCAACGAACTCTTCAAAAGTAGCTCGGCCCGGTTTGAAACTTGGGGAATTCTTGTTGGGTGCTGAAAAGACAAGTTTATAGCAACGATATCTTTGATTAAAGCCTTGACCGCCAGGTGGCACAATAGACCAATTCTCACGAGTTTGCAATTGATTTACAGACAATGATGAGGTAATATCTACATATTCACATAAATTTGAGATATTAAATGTACAATACTCGAAACAATTTTAACTTCACTCTCCTTTTAATAAATTTAACTTTCATGGATTATTTCATAGCAGCGGAGAGTGGGTGGATAAGATCAATTTTTCTAAACTGCAGGAATCGATCACAATTCAAATTTGTGTAGTTTTAGTTAGAAGTTTTTATAATTATAGTCGATGTCAATTTCTACCTTCTAGACATTTCAGTTGATAGTGAAGTCGATAGAATCGCACTGTTTGATTTTTACTCACGCGTACCGTTTCATATATAAGTTCGATCTATTAATTCAAAGTGGAAAGACAACCAACAGGAGAGTCACGTTAACCGCCGTAGAAAACCTGTGCGGGAATGTGCGTTGTGCACTTATATTCAATTGTTATATTCAACTTATCATGTATGTATACAAAATCTTTCATTGGGATGATTTATGATACTAAGAAGGCTGCAAAAAATAAAGGTATGCATCTCTGATAGAACTAAGCAACTCACCAAAATTTTTATGAATTCTTTCTGAATGACCTTTATAGTATGTCTCTCCAGATCCCCCAGATAACATTTTATCGATGTAAGCAGATACAACACGCTCCAATGGTTCTCTTACTGTCATTATGCGATAATAATTATTCAGTCTTTTATTCATTTCTTCGTACGCTTGTGGTGTTTTGCCTTGGAACCGTTCCCATAAGAACCTACATAATAACTCAATTTAGATTTTGAGCAATTTATTTGGCACAGAATGTTATTACCGAACTTTCTCATTTTATTCTTGGTTTACTAAATTGGTTTTTCGCTTTCCATTTCAACCAGTGGATCAGTCACTTTAAAATTATCAGCAGTTAAAATGAAATTCTCTCACAAAAGGATGTTTTTCTACATTTTTACAACACTTCCTGGGACTGCTGTACATGTTTTTTGGCAAAATTTTTCTAATTTTAAAAAATTTCACCATCACCACATGTTAATTCTATTTTTAGAAAAGTTAAAAACGGAACAGATGGATGCCGGATGAATCACAATTTTTTCACACGGATCAGAAATGGAAATTTTAAGCAGCGCGCAAAAACTGCGCAACTCGTCTTACTTGAAGAAAAAAATTTACAAATGACATTTAATGTGACACTTTTTGTTGCATCACGCTTGATACGTTTTCGACATCACTAAATGGGAAACACTTTCTGAATGGGACACTGGACGAAGCCAAGATCAAAACATTATATAAATGGGAATCACTCATTCGAGTTCTCCGCTTGTTTTTTGTGATGTTCATTTTCGAAAATAATTGTTCACATGTATACTTCAAAACATCAATGCGAATTTTTTCGCATAATTTGTCAAATTTGGATAAAGCTTTCCCTCAAGAAGATACTTTTTATAAAAATCAAGTAGTGATACATTTTTCGAATAGAATAAAGATTTTTTGGATCTCCTGAAGTATGCGCACCAAGATGGCGCACAACCTGTACTCAGGTTGTAACCAGGTTAGGGTTCAGGTTGTGCGACATCTTGGTGCGCATACTTCAGTAGAACCTATTTATTGCCCTATTGCATTGCACCTCAAAAAATTCCATTTGAATATTTTCTGCGCCATTGAACCCTTTTACTTAGCATCAACTTTTCTGCGCTTTGTTTCAATTGTCTGATTATAATTAAATTATAGGCTAAACAAACGAGTAATTGTGAATTTTAAACTTGTGAGTTTGTAATAGAATTTAGTTTACACGTGTCTCCCAATAAATTCTGTTACGTAAAAAATATAACAGACGTTTCGCTACTATAATCCAATGAAATGTCGCGGCCCGGTCCGGCCCGCGTGCCGACCCGTGGTCTACACCAACAATTTCGTTTGAACTAAACTTCTGATGTTTCACCATTGCTTTTATAATCTCAAACTACTACTCCTATTGGAACGTTACGTAAAGCATTAGCCCTGATAGACTCGTCATTTTAGACCTCATTCATGGGCATTTCCAATCACCAAACTTCTTGTTCCATCATGATAATTTAGATGTAAAATAGATATATTACCGTGTTTATATGTTATTACATGTTAGAATTTTTAGTAAATCATGTAGGTTATCTACAGCCCAAGCATACTAAGTAAATTTTGTTAGTGAAATAATTCTTACATCAAATAAAACTGTTATTAAAATTTGATTTTTTTAAATTTAATTTAGTGCTATGCTATGATAGAGACACCAGGCCGACAAATATACTTTCGTATCTTGCACCTTCGCTTCTCTTCAAATCAGCATTTAGAATTTAGAGATTTAATTTACTATCGTTTTGTCTCAAATAAATCACTGGAAGCAGAAGGCTAATATTCTGTGAAAAGATCATATATATAACAAAATATTTACCTTTAGGATTATGTACATTGAAAACTTTTTAAATAGGATTTGAGAAAAGTATTACAACAGTTTACTTTAGCTAAAATACTTTAATTGTAGAGCTGATAAAAATACGACTACACACACTATTAAGCATTGGAATCGGGATTCTACAGATCCAAAAATTTATCTTCTACTATAAACTGAGAGTCAAAATTCTTTTTTCCGCATTACTCTCATGCATGCCTCGTTCTTTGCTAAAGAATTATTTTTCATGGAATATCGTTATATATTATTTACTAACCGTTTTTTTCTAGCTTGCGTGAATGCATATTCGTGCTCAATTTCACTGGGTAATGTTGTGTTCACATCTCCTTCCACAATAAGTAATGCTTTTCTCCATTCTGTACTTCCGCACTTTGGAACTCCACATACTACAATCTGTGAAAGTAAAAAAATTTCCGTGGAAGTGTGATGGGAGTGAAATGCCGCACTAAGCGTATGTCTCAATGAGACGTGTATGTGGCCGTTTCTCATTTATTATCGGAATAGCACATTGTTTTTTATTTATTTATCATTAATAGGAAGGATGATGTTGATTCTGTGAAATAGTCAATACGTTAAGATCAACTTGCTACATCGCATAACTGTGATGCTGGTACGATATTGAGTAAATAGGTAACTGAACTAAACTGATACTTACAACTAACAGGCACGTTGGGCAAGTAAGCGAAATATTATTAACATGTGAGTTTACTTGAGCTACTTACCTATCATTATTTTGGAATACACTTTCCTAGACCAGGATACTACTACTATACTAATTATATTTTAAGTACTTTAATGTTATCTTGTTATCTTATCTCCTGATTATATTTCACGAAGGTAGAAACGCAAACACAATATACCGGTAGATGGATTGCTGAATGTAAACATTGTGGCTATAGCTTTCTATAAGAAACGAAGGGGGCGCTCCAGAAGTGTGTGTACCAATGTGGAGATAACTAATTTTGTTCGCCCACTTTACATCAAGTTATGTAAAGGAATTGAACCTATGGACAGGGGGTATATTCACTCGGCTAACACAGACAGTCCCCGAACTCGTAATAGAACTGATATAAAAAAAAAAATCGGAATAAAATTATGGCCTAATCCTAACCTGGTACACACACTAGGAGAGTGCCACAAAAGGTATACATAGTAGTCTATGTACGGTCAACTGACAATAATTTTAAAATACTCATCAATGATATTAACGAATGTTTACCAGAGCATCGATTTCCTTGTTTAATTTTGTCAGGTTTTCAAGTATGGTTAAATGCAAACATTCCACGCTTTGCGTGCTATTTGTCATTTTTTGGTTGTATTTTCAAAATATTTTAGTTTAGTTGCCTCAATCTAAAAATTGTCTCGAAAGAGCTGCTATTCCCTTGCTGAATTTAGCTTTCAGTATTTTTAAATGGCGTGGCTAAATATTTTGAATCCATATAATAAACATATAGGATGGTTTGTCGCTTACATCAATAGTTTTTTTTTAATTATATTCGGGGTCAGGGGTCGGAGAACATACATTGGCGCAATATATTGTCTAATCGCAATAATTTTTTGTTCCATTTTTACCTTGTGTTTATCCGAATAATATAGGCGTGGCCTCGCTAACATAGGTTTACCCATCCACGTCGATACACTTAAAGTACCATTGTTGTATCCATATCCAAGTTTCTTACACATTGTCTGCAAGTGTATACTACGTTCTTCCGCAATTTCGCTCATGTTAGGGCTTAAATTCTTCGGAATGGATTGTTCGTCTGGCTTCTCGATTTCAGATTTCACCTGAACAATATGAGTATATACATGTAAATTCCTATTTAACGAAAACCTATTGATAGCGAAGTTTTAAACTTGCTCCTCAGACGATATGCGTTATCGACGACATTTTTAACATCCGGTAAACGCAAACACGATGAAAAATTCAATAATCCCAAGTGCACTCAACTTATTTATCAGTCGAGGACTCGTTAAACACTCAATGTATATAATAAAAACCATAAAGTAGTATTCAAACTTCAACTGTTTAGATAAGTTTCTGTATATTGCAGTAAGCTAAAACAAGTCGGCTTGTTAACGTGACGTACATATACATCCAAACATACGCATCCACAAGCAACGAATAGCCATATACAGCAAACCAAATGTGCATATACGCCCAATACATGGTCCGTATAGGTAACTTTTTTTAATTACACTAATCAGATAAATTGCTGATTGTTTCTATTAGTTAATTAAAAAACACCACGATTCCTCGCGCAATTGTTTTCCGATTTAACTTCACATGTTTCAAAATACATCTCCCAGATCTTTGGGCGAAATATTGCTTCCAATTTGGATGAGCTTACAAAAATGTTTATCACGGAGCATGTGATATATATGCATTGAATTGTTATGATCCAGGGTATTCAAGGTTTGATGTGATGGTGTCAACCTTTGGTGGCTGCCTCTGCTTGTGTAGCAGCAGGAAAAATATTGTTAGTAGCAAAAGTGTTCTTTGATTCTAGATAGGAGATGGATTCCTCCTATCTAGAGAGACAATAGCGCATATACGAGGTGCGGCTAAAATGAAACGGGACTGACGTCACAGATTGCGCAACACGATTAACCATCGGTAATCAACACTTTTGCAGTGTGGCGTAATATGTGTTCTTTGTTTAACAGCTGTTTTGACACAATATCGCAATTATTTTTGCTTTTCAGGATCCATAAGTGAATGTGATAAATTTCTTGTTGAAAAAAAATGCTGTGCGAGGTCTGATTGAGTTTTTTGGCGATAGGGGGTTCAATTGCAGAATGGCGATTGAGCAAAGAATTAACATTAAATTTTGTGTCAAACTTGGAAAAATGCATGTCAACTCGCCATGCATTCAATCGTTGAGCTTTCTGCTCCTCAGTCAACTCAAGAGCCTTTGGCATCATTTTGGCACACACCTTTCGCATTCCCAAAGTGTCAACCAAAATGGTGCGGACCGTTTCTTTGTCCATCCCAATTTCGTTGGCAATGACGAGAATTGTTAAGCGACGGTCACTGCGAACCAACTGCCAAACCTTTTCGATGTTGGTATCAGTAGTGGACGTGCAAGCCTCCCTGACCTCGGATCATCCTCCACATCCTCCCCACCCTCCACAAATCGCTTGTGCCATTCAAAAACTCTTGTTCTGGACATGGAAGAATCTCCATAAACATCAGGCAACATCTTCAAAGTCTCAGTCGCCGTTTTTCCAAGTTTGACACAAAATTTAATGTTAATTCTTTGCTCAGTCGTCATTCCTTAAATGAACCCCCTATTGCCAAAAAACTCAATCAGACCTCGCACAGCATTTTTTTTCAACAAGAAATTTATCACATTCACTTATGGATCCTGAAAAGCAAAAATAATTGCGATATTGTGTCAAAACAGCTGTTAAACTAATAACACATATTACGCCACACTGCAAAAGTGTTGATTACCGATGGTTAATCGTGTTGCGCAATCTGTGACGTCAGTCCCGTTTCTTTCTAGCCTTACCTCGTATATATATGCGTCTTGCATTTAATCAAGCTGTGCAGACAGATAATGAAGAATGTCATCTTGTCGTCATAAGTGATTCAACTGAACTCCAGCGTTAATTTGGTAAATTTCTTAAAATGGTGACCGTATATTTGAACCCACGTACATTTGAACCCATGTGCATATCCACGGGTTCAATCTATATGCGGGTGTTAAAACCCATGGGTTAGGGTTAGTATGGGTTCAACTATCCGAAAAACAAAAATAAATTCCATAGGTGCGATAGCATACAGGTGCAATTGTCATGGGTTCAGATGTACGTGGGTTCAAATGTAATGGAACCTCTTAAAATATTTAAGTTTCAATTGAGTTTTAGGCGCACCTAAACGAGATATATTGGAATTTTTTTTTTTATATAAATTCTTAATGCGGCCAACTATAGGAAAAATTATAGACCCGTTGTATAGGAAGTATTTCTAAGCGGACTAACAAATTGTGGCGCATATGACGCAGGTGGCTTATCAAAAAAGTCGTCAGGATACATACAGATTCGATGGTGCCATAATCACAGTTCACATTATCGGAAATGCATTTGCAACAGCAAGGGTCTTTGACAATTTATTGGACACGAAATGGGTCTATGGATAGTTTTGCAATGTTGTTGTTATCGTTGAGGTTATAAAAAATCGCCTTTCTCGACGACTAATGGACTGATAGAGTTTCAATTTGTGCTTAGAATAGAAGTCGCTAAAACGCTACTTACTTTTGGATTTTTCAATTTGTCTCTAAATCCTATACGCCTCTATATTTCCCACAAATTTTCTATATTTGGGCATATTGCGTCACCATGTATTTGGGCATATTGCGTCACCATTGCGTCGGACTATACCAGCATTTCTTCCGTAACCGCGGACTTGCAGATACCGACGTGAATTGCTACATTGGTGTTTAGTAAATGAAGCTTTCAAATAATCAGGTTAAAAAAATCGAACCCGCTGTTAGTCGATTGACCTTAGCGTTTTTTTGAGTACAATATTTCTTTTTTGAGTACAATATCTCGTTGAAAAGACTATTGATCGCCATTGGCACACAAACGGCAAACTGAATGATTTGATATTCAGTGCAAATTACCATCAAACATGTTGTAATATATTCTATTCATTCCACAAAGTGGGCGGACGTGTACACCCATTGACAATACAAAAGCGGCAGACCGATTCAAAATATCATTCAACGCAAATACCCTTTTCACATGTTGCAATTTTCTGGTTCCCCGACGCATCTAGAGAATGTGTTTGAAGTTCAGGCTTTTGAGGGGAGTTGTCATAAAAATTAGGTGCTAAGGGATAAATTAATTAAAATGAATTTTCCAATTACAATATGAGAGAGCAATATGGACGGACACGATGGTCGCGCATTGGTATTGGTACGGCAATGCCTCTGTAAACTCCGAGTTTAGTGAAAAAAACGGCGCACAAAGAGTATGGATACGGTCAGACAATACGGAATAAAGCTTAAACCCCTTCATTCTAATAAAATATAACAGCAAAACTTTTTGTGAAAAATCTTCTACACACTAAAAATTTGAATTTTTTTATATTATATTTATATATTATTTAACTTTCTAGTAGCTTCCTTATGTCCATTTGCGCCAAAGAAGGACATTTTCCCTCCATGTACACACTTCTCTGAATAACATCACTGATGCTAGTACATTTCAGGTGAACCTTATGTCACAGCAATTTATGAGTTGAAAATCTAGCGTTCAGCTGGTGAGTGTAATATAGAAATTCTCGAATAGAAATTGACTCACTTTCCGAATGAGCTGTGATCATGATGTATATATCAACCACATGAGTAACTATGTATATGCTTTGATGTGTGGCTGTGTATGTACTTCACTTGATTTGGTGTATAGTGGTATATGCACATTTGTTTGGCTCATAGTTCATTATCAATCCTAACAATGTAAACAGTCGTATATTTTCTTTAGTGAGGGTAGGCTTGCACGTAATTGACAAAAATCAATTCCGTAATTACGGCAAAATCAATTACGTAATGACCCCGTAATTGCGATATTTTTCCACGCATTTAAACCTATCATAACAACCAATTGAATCCACTTCTTTTCCGAATGGGACATTGAAGTTGGGTTTTCATATTCTTGGCAGTACTACACGCCATCGGCAGATGTTAAAGACAAATATCAAGGAGTGAATTCAAATTAATTTTATTCTGATTTTTATCTTTTGTGTTAGCTTTGGTTTTCCTTTATCACCTTCGCAAATTAACCGTCCCATTTTTATGCGATCAATTTTATTTTATCATTACCGACACTGGTATACGGTTATTTATGGAAACGATAGTTTTTTAAAACCACCTTAGTACTGAATAAAAATTAAGGGTTCCTAATTTATTAACCAACGACGAGCGTATTCACTCACTCATTTGATTATACTTGCGATTTCCTCGCGACGAAGACTTGTTTTTGCAGCGTCTTCTGCATTATCCGACATTACTGCCTTGTTAGCATTTTATGATAATAAATATTGATGTCGACTTATTGACGATATTCCGATTACCATGCTTCATTTTACATTTAATCATTTCGCGGACTGAATGTTTAAAACATTATTTGCGATAAATTTAGATTAAATATTATTTATTTGAGTATAATTTAAATATCGAACTTATATGATATGCCTTCTCCGAAAATACAAAAGTTATATCGCAAAACAATGCATTTTGTGACATTTATTTTACACTCACGACATTTATTTGCTAACTCAAGTCGGCGATCCTATCGGCCAAGATTGACACAAGTTTGGTCGAGTGCCGGTGGTATTCAAGTAGACGATAAATCAAAATAAGTTGCCGCATTTGGTAAGACAGTTAATCATATATGGCCGAAATATTGAGAGGAATTGTGAAAAACATCATGCGCAAGGCCAAGTCCGGACTGATATATAACGATAAAACCGTTAACAGAACATTCCTAAATTTTATTGTCCTGGGAACTGCCTGTTTAGTATCAAATGAAATGCAATGTTCAGGACATTTCCAAATAGATAATACATTTATAGTAAGTAATACATTTGCAATTTTTTACCATCTAAATCCAGCAATGTAGAAATTCCCACTATTTGAATAAGTATGAAAATAGAATAGGATTCGGTATTCTGGATTCGATTTAACTATTCTAGAATAGTAAATTATTCTACATTGCCCATCCCTATCTACGGTTAAGTTACGGGAGAAGTTAAAACCAGGTGTGTTGGCGTCAAACGGCCCTACTCAGTTCTTCCCCCTTAACTACGTTAATAATTTACATTGACCATGCCAGAGAAGTTGATAATAGGTTAGTGAATGGCAACGCGTCATGCCCTCCTTCACCTACGTAACAAGAGAGAGAAAAACGGCTGCGAATACCGGAACTCTAACTTCTACTTGTTGAGCTTTCATTTTTCGCAATCGACGAAATTGACTGCTTTGAAGAAAGCTCGTTTCAATGCAATAAATACGACTTTACGGAATTCGTAACTTCCCTTCCGTAACTCAAAATAATTACGTAAATCCGTAAATTACGTGCAAGCCTAAGTGAGGGATATAAAAATTTAATAGCTTCACATGGATAAATGACAAACTTACCAAGAGATAATTCAGACAATAATACGAAAAGTTAATCATTGAATTATTTTGCATAAATTATACGAATTAAACATTTCGTCGGTCGCACGCATAAATTGTTTCTGGAAGCGATTTTCAAATGGCTTTATTATTAACTAGTGATTTAGTCGGTGCAATTTATTTCTTTGGTCATGGGTTTTTCTCGACAAATATCATTTTCAAGTCAAATCAACTCACAACTATAAGATGGATTCGAATATTTAAAAGCTAACTATATTTTTTTACAAATCATTTTTTTAATTAGGAGAATCATGCTTTCCGCATGTACAGAAAAGAAAGATGTCCTTATTGATTTGCACAATCCATTAAAGTTTAATTCAAAATCTCTTCAAAATTGTGAATATAAATTAATCGAAGGGTTCAAATGTTAAATTCGAACATTCACAGTGTTTCAATTAGGATAATTGTGCTTTCCGTAAGGTGTATTGGAAAGAAATATGTGCTTATTGGTATATAGCCCAGTCAATTAAAGTTAAATTCAATATCTCTTTAGAATTGTAAATTTTGATCAAAAAGTACGAATGTTCTACCATCTAAAAATGTTCAACTTCATTCCAGAAGTAAACCATGTGAGTTTTCAACCGCTACATTTGACCACATCGAATCAGAGTATGGAGTCAATTTGCGTGAACTTTTTTATAATCAGACTTCGTTCACCAAACTCACTAGCAGTTTATTTCGAATCCTTGCAGGTGATTCATTGATTCTTTTCGGCTATGACAAGCGATAATGTGTAAATCAAACTTATGTGACTTAAGAATCGGTGTAATTCTGTAATTACAATAACTTTTTCGAATGGCCACTTGTTATATTACTCTGTTCAAATTAAAAAAAAAAAATTAATTACCGTAATTAACATCAAAGAGGGTAGAAGAAACCACAGTCAACAAATTAACTATGTCAGGAAAGTTTTTTTTTTTGTACACCGGCGGTCAAATCTCATTCACATATAATTATGATCATCTGAATTATTTTTCTATATCGGTGTTATGGATATTTACTTGTTTATGTACATTCAAAACCTCTGTAACTTCACTTAGGTTCAGGCAGTTCATTATATTCCACTGAACTTGATTTGCATTTGACTTGTTATTGCCTTGTTCAGACATAATCTCAAAAGAATTGTAAAATTATTTTTAATGATATTGGCGAGCAATTCCAATTCTGATGCTAAAATAACATATTGTAGTTATTTGTTTTCCCCAAAGAATAGCCTATCTGTAATGTACAATTAGTTTAGTAATATTATCAAAATTACTGCACGGGTGACTTGGCGATTTTGTGTTACATACAAAGCAGAAAACCAGCTTCCCTATAGATTATTTCCGACAATAAATTTGGGTTTGACATGTGTTGTGAGTTTGTGTTGAATTATATACAAACGAGATTGGGAAACAAAATAATAGAGTCAGTGTACCAATCGCCATGAATGAATGTCAACTCAAAGAAAATGATAGGACTAGCTATGGCACAATTTATTGTTTCAATAGCAGGAGCATCGTTATCATTTAAAATTTTAGATCAATTTATTTCTGCATTTAAGTGTCAACATTGTATACTGAAAACATGACTCACCTGCACTTTATAGTAATTGGTAGACCAATGGTACTGCATGTATAGTCCAACACCGCAAAACAATGCTATCACAAGAACGGTATGTTTCATATTTTTCATTCTTTCAAATTTTTCCTGAAAATATTTGGAAAATTCATTTGATAAGGCTGCATCACAGATTTTTTTTTTTTATCTGAAGTCAAGTTTCCATTATTTTAATTAGCTAATATTTTTCATTTCCGGGATGGGTTTTCTCTATCTCACATAGAATAAAATTTATTTTATAATTTATACATATCAGAGTATAAAAGAGTCAGTTTGGGGTCTAATTTACGGGTCGCAAGTTTACTTCAAATAAAAAGTTTGAACTTTATTTAAATATGACAAGCATACAAGGTATATTCCATAGCAAATAACCTCGATTTTAATTTTCAGTGTAGTTCGGAATTAGGACTATGTATACGTAGGGAGTTCTATAAGGTATATATATGGCAACCTTGCCTATTTAGTTGCACAAAATTTTACTATTAACCCCTGAAAAAGGAAAGCCGATAAAACGATTTGGTGGACCACGGCCACTCGCCCGGTCACTGATCCAGGTCGGACATGAAAATTGTTAACCAGGTAGTCATTCGAGATGAATAGACGCCGGTGCATTTGTGCCAGTAAATATACATTAGCTAATGGAAGAATTTAGACAAGTTAAAGCAACCTCGGATGTAAAGATGTTGGTACAGTAATGCATCCTTCTTTTGCATTATTCTACGAGTCATTGACTGTTTCAGGACTCAATTTTATTTGCGGCCCGCGAGCGATTTCGTTGCGTTCCTTTGAACGACCCGACATTTAAAAGTTCCAAATTGCCTAAAATTGTTACAATTTAGTTTTAGAAAATCTTAAACGCTTGTACAAAAGTTATGGCCTCTCTATTAATACATGAATTAAAAATTGATCTTAAATTTATTATTGTCTCTACACGGATTCGTGTGATAACAAGAGATGCTATATGGCGCTTGTTTTGTAACAAGTAGCATCAGTTGTATGTCGTTCGAGTTAATTTTGGTTTTCAAAAGTTTTTACCTGTTATATATACTTATTGTAATTGTATTAGCCACCCGGATCGGAAAACGTTTGGTAAGAAATTAGTCTTTTATTGTTGATATATGCTTTGTGACTTAATTGTGTATCTAAGAAAACAGCTGTTCTTTTCCAAGTGTATGAAAAAGAAGCTGATTTATGCATGTGTCTTATTTGTGGATAAAGGGGCTGAGAGTGGCGCGTTCGATACGTTTTCATTGTGTCTCGTCTATATAGATTCCGGGCTATCAAAAGACGTGACACTTGAACGGAAGAATATTTTTCTTCCTTGCGCATCTCAAAACCCATTTGCTCGATATGTCCAGCCAATATCGCAGTTAGTAAAGAATTCAAAGTTAAATTCGTTACGAAACGTGTCATCGACAATTCGACCCAGAGACCAGGACTTCGCCACATCTCGTCTGTGCGACAGTGCCAAATGTGGAATGTGCACGTTCGGAAGCACATTTTGCTGCGAACACCTTGTCTGAAATGCATTACACGTAGAATAAATTTCGTACACGCTTGTCAGATCGTCATTTGGTCGACGTACCACGGGCAAGTTACCATGAAAACATCGCCCTTCACATTAATAGAAAGTAAATGAAAACGATGTATTCTTGAATAATAAAATTAAAAACGCCACATACACATCTCATTGTGGCAGGCCTTTAACGTAGCAATAGAAGGTGCGAATGCGCCATATTTTAAAGATTAATGTTCGAAGGCGGAAATATTGCGACCCGCGCGCTACTGGAAATGTGTATATTTGGCCCGCAAGTACATAAAGTTTGCCGACCACTATATTATACATTGACACTAACAGACTTAATATATTAAAATGAACGATATTCTGGAAATTCGATAAATAATATCAACTAAGCTTACTCAATAATTTTATCCAATCAAGACCTTAAAACATGAACGATCATAGTTCTATAAAGGGCACGAAATTTAGTTGACATTACAATAAATACTTGTGAATACATTTGGTTGCAGTGATAAAACCGGGAATTTGTCACAATGTCTTCACTTCGTTCCTGCTTGCAACGAAAGCTTCGACTGAAAGCCCCGATGACGAAAGTATTAGCTACTGCGGCCAAACAATGCACCAAAGCCGGTACTTGGGATGAATGGTTAATCGTTCAACTGTTTGTGGATGGTACAGAGATACACAGCTTAGCGTCAATTTCTAATCATAATTCGACTAATTGCACAACGGTAACTTTCACGTATGGATGACTCTTGATTGGCTTTTAACAATTGAAACTCTGTCGGGAGTATATTTTCCGGAAGTAGTGCTTAACGGTTCGAATTTGCAATGTTTCTCACCGATATGAATACAAAAATAAAATTTGTCACAAGTTACCAAATGCGAGCGAGTTACCAAGTAAACAAATTTGCATGGTTAACTGTTTAATTGTTTCCAAAGAAAGTTTGTGTCGTGAGCACTGCCGTACAATACAAATTGTTGCCATAACCCGACAATGGTTATTTGTATGGTACGGCAGTGATTAGAACGCCTAGTTTCTCTGAAAACGATTATTAATCACAGGGACTTTGATCACCTACTAGGTTCATATTATTACATTTTCAAATTGTGAAAACTGATTGAAGTTACAGTATATCTGACAATTCGTAGTTACGACTGGTACCTCCTTACCTTTCCGACTGAGATCTACAATACATTTTTAGAATGCTGGAGTCCGACTAAACTTACAGAATATCAACATATCTGGGAAATCCCATGCTATTGCCTCGTAAAATATGATTATGTGTGATGCTAAGTTATCTCCTTTCCCTAAAGACAGAATAGGAACACCTTTGCCATCAAACCATTATTCATTGTACCCGAAGAAAGTGTACCCTCATATAACAAGCGTTGCCAAATTGAATCCAGCGAAAATTTCGGTGGAAACAAATTCGATGGGTATTTCAGTAAAGAAAGCCTATGAAGCATGGAGTGTTCCTATGGAGTTCCTTGAAAAGAGTATAAACTATACGGAAGCGGAGACCAACAAAGTCTAATCTTCCTTTCAATCTCTTCATGAAATCAATTTTAGAACTGATTATGAATTCGTACGGATGAATTAAAATATCGCGTAGTTAAATATGTTTTCCTAAATTTTAGGAAATTTGTTGTGAATCTTTAAATAAATTGGAAGATATCAATAATCTGGCAACCTGTTCTTAAGTTTATACGGACCACATATTCTTTATAATATGACCTCATATATGATTAAGTGTGATTGTGATGCCACAAGCATATAACATAATGAATGTGACTTAGTCATTGTTACATCAATGGTAGTGTTCGACATTGGAATAACCTCCGTGTATTAAAGTTTTGCAAGATTTTCATAAGGCACTACAGTGAAAAATGACCAAAATAAATTCCGATTGTTATTAAGATATAAACATTAGTCTAAATTTCCAACTATTTATTTGCGTATCACCAATCAAAGGAAGCTGTATATTGCGAGTACGCACACAGCTGAAGCATAACGAGCAACTCGGGGTACCATTCTAAAGCGAACTATATTTCACTGATCATTAAAATCTACGCTAATAAATACAAGACATATTTAAATCTAATTTACAAGACATTTTTATAATTTAAATTTATAGCATCGTAGCCAAACGATGTTACTGTGATGATATGCGCAAAATTTTTCAATTCATATCAAGAACACAATGGTCCGTGAATCGTTCTTACGAGCGGCGTCCCTGAAATGGCCGAAAATCGGGGCGGGTCCACGCATTTCTGAGACGGATTCAATATTAGGCCTTGGTTAATTTTAACGAGTTCTTAATCAATTCCATTTTTCATTCTTAACGCCTATATGGTATGGTACTTTACCTCTATGGAGCTCCGTAGTAATTTTTTTAGCTGAAAATAAAATCTAAATATCTAAAAACGGGAACTTAGTAAAAATATATTTCACTAGTATACTCGCTAAATATCATACTTATCAGCAAACTCACTGAACTAATATTTAATGAGTTACATGACTTCACCTGATGTTCACTTTGAACTATTGTGGGTAAAACGGACACGTCATCGAGTTTATTTTAAGCTCTTACAGCTACTCACCAGCGCAAACTTATTATGAAAACGCCTTCAACGCCTCACAAACTAACGTAAAAAAGCAAAGAAATTGATTATTACCTTTTTAATTGGTGTTTGGGTCGCACAATTGTGGTTGAAAGTCACTATAACAGTAAATACCCAATTTTTCGCCGCTCTGAAATCGAACTTTTAAGAATATCGCCTGTCGTCTGCCAAGATTTGCGATAATGGCGGCGTATTCGCTCCAGTGAAATTTCCATTGGTCACGTAACAAACGAGTATTGAAACCTCGACCGATCCTCTCATGGTGTCGCTGTGAGATCAAATCGAAACAGGTGTCCGAATTACCCCGCATGTCCGTTCTCCCCCACCCTACTATATACTACAAATAAAGCAAAATAACCTGAATGTAGTTCTAAGCGCGAAAGAAGTCGCTTGGAACTCTGCTAATAGTCATATTTTCACTTTCAATTGGTATCTCGGCACTTTGTTTATTTTGTTAACCATTAGAATATATCAGCGTATTTCCATTCTTGCTCACACAGTTTAAAAATTATTTATTTGTAAATAACTCTCGCAGCTCAGGTCGAGCCATCGTATACAAATGGATCATTCAAAAGAGATGAAGGTATTGTTGAATAGTTTTGAAATAATATTCAGATATGGTTACGATTTTACGAGAAGCCTTTCTATCCTCGCTATACAAGCAAATATATACTCAAAGAAGAATTCATACCTGCATAAATTTTTTTTCTATAGTTACTTTATAGGGTTTGGTTCCGAATCAATTTACGTAAGAACATCTCCTACTTTTTAGTAGGTTTGCTCAAAATGAATGTGTCGATGAATCTAGCCACCACAACTTTGCCTTTGCCGTTATAGTCATTTTCGAGACAAGCGCTTGGTACATGGTACTAACAATACAGCTAGTCTGTTACGTGCGTAGTTCTTCTTTACAATATATATACGATACTTTGCGAACCATACGGCGCTTTTTTATTATCGTGGCCCTCTTGCTCGAAAAGTTTAACTTCGCGGACCCCCTTTATTAACGTTTTTTTTCTTTTTCAGAGGTTTAAATAAGTCGAGGTAGGGTTGTCCAGAACGAATCGAATATCAAAGTAATCGACTACCTTTTCGTCATCTTATGGGTGTGTACAAATGCAAACCGAACGAGATGACGATATATGATTACTGAGGTCTACCATATCCTATAACAGGGTCGTCCAACCCGTGGCCCGCGGGCCATATGTGGCCCGCGCTGTATTTTTCAGAATTGAATAAAAAAATTAAGTATAACTTTTATTCGAGCAATTTAGTATGAAAAGATATGAACAAACGAGTTGTTTATTTTCCTGAAATGTGCTCTGGCAGCCCTTTCAAACGAGCCATGAGTGCCATTTTGAATCGAAACCAACTGGGAGGAGATATCAATATATAACGCCGCCGTAGTTGCTACGTACATACATAAAATCCATAATACATACATAAAAGTGAGCTACTTTGTGGCAGAAATATTCGCAAAACAATCGAAGCCGTTTTCACATTAAGAATTCGTTCAGCAATGTATTGTTAGGGTTACCAATGTTTTATGACCGGAAATAAAAAAGGCGTTTGCAAAAATAAGCCTGTCAAGACAGGCATACGATAAAACGCATCCGTATGTAGACACATTGAAAATCGTATGCTATTGCGTACAATTTATATAAACCCATCTGTCAGCCCATTTCACTTTCACTCCCCGTATCTCAAAAATGTCTCTGGGACACTAAAGCAATGAAGACACTGGGGCTTTGTACATGTGGCATACGGCATTTGACAAAGAAAAAAATGACTTTCAGTATAGTTTGTCAAAACGAGTTATAACATGTAACAGCCAGTTTATTGATATGGGAATCGCGATGCGAAGTTTTTCTTTATAATCTTTGCTTTTTACAAGCTTTACTCGGAACATACAACAATTGCAACAAGGTCTTTAAAAAACATAAAATAACGTTTCTTGTTATCAGTGAAACTCATGTTTAATTCGAATATTTACCTTCATATACGAACCAATGCTTTACGTGGAAATGCTTGGATGGATATCCGATAACGATTGAAAACAGCGTGACCAAAACGAAAAAATAGGGATTTTAAACAATCTGTGGAAAACTATAGAAAGCGTAGCTTTGAAAGAATTACCACTTTGTGACGTCAACTCTTTTGACAATAATATAAACAAATAACCGTTCCCAGTTGGGAATACAATCCAGTAGGGAATACTGCAATACTTTCAGCAGTAAAATATCATCTTTGGCTGCAATGTACAGACACGATTCTTGCGAAATGACCATGATATCTGCTTGTCAGGCTCCCTAACAATCAAATACGAATCGGAGGATCGATTGGCAGAAGCTCGGCGGAGTATTGAAACATGACAAACAAATGACTCTCAAATTTAAGTAACTTGGTAGTGCTCATCAGCTTATTTTAAAACGATATAATATCATCTACTGGCGAATTGTGTTAGTTTTTGATGCATTTAAATTCTGTTCACTTCAGGTTGGCTAGACAAAGGAAAACGGAAAGGAAATATTAAAGCAACAGTCAGACATGGGGTCTCAAAGTAAACGATACGCCGTAACTGTCTCTTCAGTCGGAGCGGCGCAAATTCTTCCTAAATATTGCGACATCACAACGGGTCAGGGGAAAGTCGGAGAAAAACCAAAATCGTAAAAGTAATAACCTCACTTGAGACACTTCAATATTTAAATACAGATTATTTAAAAAGGGATTACCAAAAAACATAATAGAAAATATCATCATCGACAGAAATTTAGCAAATCTCACGGTATAATAAGTCAATTATTTCATTTCATAAATGTCTCCAATTTATTCTTTGCAGTATTAGAAATGGAATATCGTCAATACATACAGATATGAGGCAGTGTATCTTAAGATAGTTGTTATAGATTGTCTTTAGAGTCTTTGTTGTTTCGAATAGACAGGCTGAAACGTTAGAACAGGGTCGTCCAACCCGGGCCCGCGGGCCATATATGGCCAGCGCTCTGCCAGCCCTTTCAAACGAGGTATGAGTGCCATTTTGAATCGAAACCAAATGGGAGAAGATATCGATATATAAAGCTGCCGTAGTTGCTACGTACATACATAAAATCCATAATACATACATAAAAGTGAGCTACTTTGTGGCAGAAATATCCGCAAAACAATCGAAGCCGTTTTCGCATTGAGAAATCGTTGAGCATTGTATTGTTAGGGTTACCAATGTTTTATGACCGGAAATAAAAGAGGCGTTTGCAAAAATAAGCCTGTGAAGACAGTCGATTCTCGTCGTGTTGAAGAGCTTGGGAATTCAATAGCAGAAACTTTAATTGCAAAAGCGGGAAAGTTTTCATCATATTCCTTGACGCCTGACGGAAGCGTTGACATCAAGTCTACTGCTCGTCATGCGGGGAGTTAATGATGATTTTGAAATTAGCGAAGAGCTCGCGGCCATTGTCCCAATTAAGGGCACGACTACGGGCATTGATTTGTTGGGAGCTGTGATGAAAACGATCAAGCGTCTTGGCTTTTCTTTGACCAAACTTTCGGGCATAACCACTGATGGCGCCCCATCATTGGCTAGGAAACAACAGTTTTATTGTTCCAATAATTGTGAAAGTTTGGCGTGAGGGTATTGTTGCTTTCAGTGTAGCAAAACTAAAACATCCCTACCATGTTAAGTGGCCCGCGCACGTATTAGTAAAGTGCACGAGGCCCTTCGGCCAAAAAGGTTGGACGACCCTGAGTTAAAGCAACCTCGGATGTAAAGATGTTGGTACAGTAGTGCATTCTACTTTTGCAATATTCTACGAGTCATTGACTGTTTCGGGA